TTTTAGAATGAGCTGAGCTTTTCTGATGGTCAGGAACTCCCCTTTCATGCTAAAAAAAAAAAAAAAAAAAAACACCAAGCAAGATTTGTACCTCTAAAAGAGGGAGAAGTGGAATTCTCATGCAGTTTCGAGACAATAATTTTATTGCTTGTAAATATTACAATCAGATCAACATATTTTTTATTGTAAATAAATCGGGAAATCTGACTGAAATTAACCTGGTCAGTCTCGTTCTCATGTTCTGTGGTATGTTGGTATTCAGTTTGCGCGTGTTAGACAGCCTTACGATCGGTTTATCGCTCGTTTCACAAAATAATGCATGTAACCGATTTTCTGCAAGATTGGTTTAAGTTTGAACCCGAGGTTATTCCCGCAATTGGCTTGAACTTTAACTTGGGAGCGAAGAAAGGTAAGCAATCTCGTGTCAAGCCCTTATTACACGGAGTAATTCTCTCTCACTTTGGTTATCAATTTTAATGCCCTCAACCCCATAGCTCAAACTCCTCCCTGTCCCCTCCCCCCATAGCTCAAACTCCTTTCCTTCCCCTCCCCCCATAGCTCAAATTCCTCCCCGTCCCCTCCCCTGAAAGAGAGGTTGCGTGAGGCGTACTCAATCGTGACCTGGAAAGAAAGTGTGAACTTTCGACTTGTGTTCGTGCGCTCGCCATTCAAAATTCCATTTTTCAGCTTGTGGGATCTTTACGTTCCCACACGCCTCAAATCTGTGAAATGCTTTCCGGACATCTGTAACTGATTGGATTGTGGAAAGCCGCTTGCAGTGTAAATAAGATAATAGGAAATCTTGTTTTGTGGTAAACAGTGTACGACTTTCATATAATTTTGTTCAAGTTCTCTTAACGGGCAGTCGTGAGTCAGCATTTGATCTTTTCAATATTCACTAACCGACGATTCTTAGCTGAAAATGATCTATTTAGTTAAGAAATTTCATAAGTATGCACCATTTCATGTCGTTTGGTGACCGGAAAGCACGGGCTTATTAGGGTAAATCCGACGGGTAGTCATCGGGGTGCAAGAGCTTCAGTCTCGGTATACACCTTTATCACTTAGCGCCATCTTGGATTGCGTGAAGCACCAAATCGAGGCTGGACGGGCATAAAGTTTGTGTTACACTAGTGTTTACAGTGGGGATATATGACAAGTGAGCATGGCTCAGGATCATTGCTCTGTTAACTTCTGTACAAATCACAAGAGAAATCAGAGGAGCGAGAATTTATCTTTTTTCAACTTTCCTTCAAATTCTTTCTTGACATCGAAATGGATTGCCGCTATAAAGCGAGATGAAGGGCTAGATTTTGAGATAAGAATCCGGAGCTGTGACTGGCGAGTTGTCAGACGCGCGTATTACTAGCGACCGAAGTTTTGCTTTCGATTGAAAACAAAGCCACTACACGTTTTGCGAAATACCTACTTTTTTCGTATCCAGAACACTAGTCATTTAAGGAATCTACTAGTCTTTTACTTTTGGCTCAAGCTGTCAAACGCTCATGGCAATATTTTGTTTGTTTTTATTAACTCGGATTTTGTAATATGTATTAAATGAGATTCTCCGGCCCTCGTTTATTCGCGTTATAATGAAAAATAAAACTTGAATTACAACAAACTTGAACTACACGACAGAAAATTACTAAAAACTGCCCGAAATTAAAACACTAAAATTTTACTCAAATATCATTTATTAGTAGTACGTAAGGCGAGGTTTAAATCAAGATGGTCAAATAAATATCTGCAAGCTCCACGGCTCTTCATTCTTCCCCTGTGACGTGTAGCTTCGAGCTCTCACGACGACTCCTGTGTCTAGTGTTTTCACTGAAAGGAAAGGTGCGAACGCGGATGTGTAACAACGTGGACACGCTACGAGTCATGGTTTCTAAAGCTTCATTTCATCACTTTTTTACTTCGTTGGAAGTTTTTGATTAACGAATCCGGGCATAAATAAAAGATAAGAACAATACGATATCTGTAAAAATGGTATGAATGGCGTGAATAACCCAACTGTTCGAATGAAATATTTCCATCTTCATCCAGACTTGAGGCATCAACAACAACCTCAGAACAACTCGTCGATATCAAAGATGTAGCCTTCGTAGAAATTGCTGTAACCACGGGTTATTACTTTCTTTGGGACCTTTACATCTTTCTCGAGCCATTTCTCGACGAGTTGAATCAAAATAAGGAATATTCTTAAGAGATTTCGACCACGTAACAGAAGCTACTCTCTCAGCCATAGTGAATTGTATAGAAATATGCCAAACACGCGAAACACAATGCCCGTCCAGCCTCGATTTGGTACGGCACGGAATCCAAAACGGTGCTGCGTGATAAGAGTGTACTGGCGGAATACGAAAGCTCAGTGTGGACGGGGAAATCTGATAGATATGGCGCGTTATTCAACATAGACCAGCGTGTGCCAAACTAAAAGAGATACGTATACAGTGGTACGTTTTCTCTTTGGTGAACTAGCTACAGATTTAGTAATATCAACTAAGTAGAAATTGTGAATTGGCCACCGTAAAGAGTTAAAAAGCTGACGTTTCGAGCGTTAGCCCTTCGTCAGAGCGAATGAAGGAATTGTGGGTTGTGTGTGGGTTTATATGCAGAAAGTGGAGCTGCGCTATTGGTGGGAGCATGGTGACGAGAAAAACACGAATAAATTAGTCGAATGAAAAGCGTTCGTTGATACCTATGGGGTTAAGAGTGCCGATTTGAAAGATAAACTTTTGTTCAAGAGTTTTGCGGCTTTCCGAGCTACCTAAATGTAAGGAAAGACCACAGATTACCATATGTTGCTTAGAATGATTAGGTAGATTAAAAATGTCCTGCGATTGGTTTTGATACGTCCAAATTTACCCAAGAATCGCGTAATTAATAGAATCTCGCATTCTGATTGGTTAACGGAAAGAGATATTTTATTAGCGAGGAATTGCGAATTGAAAACGAGGGTGTGATATTGTTTCGCATCTCTTGTTTCGCATTCAGGATAAAAGCAAGCATTGCTGTTTTCTTTTTTCTTATTTTTCTTTAAATATGCGATTCAAGGAAAATCTGACTCGTGAATTTCACGTTGAATTACACTTGAAAACAAATAGTGAGCTCATCGCTTCGCGATTTGAGCGATATCGTTTTTCGCGTGCAGTTTAACGCGCGATTCTTTCGTCAGGTAATTAATTTTCCTGTAAAACTTGCAGCCTGGCAAACTGTTTACTGGCAAGCGAACTGATGAGGAATAGTGCCGTAATGAAAGCATTCCCATCCGATGTAAGGCCTGAGCTTAACTCATGCGAACGTGTACGATGTGGATTGGACTTTTCATTAAATCTCGTCCTTTTTGAAGGTTTCCTTAAAGCTTGTCGCTTTTCCTACTTCTACAAAAACTGAAATCAGACAATGGACGACAAGCCGCTGCCGGGGATCTGCCTCTGATAGAAAGAATTGTATAAGAATTGCCCAGCGATTGAAAGCTTTTTTAGAGATCCAGACAAGAGGCGACTCGATGTTTTCTTAAAACGGCCTTTTTTACATATATTTTTATTTCCCCCAATTGCGACATATTTTGTTAAGTAAGCTTCTTAATTTTGTTGACGGCGTCGGTCATTCTGATGTAGATGAAAAACCGCAAAAATAGCTTTGAGAAAGGAACTATTCCTATTTGGTAATACGAAACTGCTGACAACATCTGGTATAGCAAAAGGCCCGCTTATAGGGGAATCCAAAACGCACTGATTATTTATGTTAACGGGGGCGTGCTATTCCGTCCTAAATTTTTAAATTGAGCATGTAATACAGCACAGTCCCAGATATCTTAAAATTCTTTTGTCGCGTGCAACCTTAAGAGCAATCGAATCCTAATGTTCTTACGACGAGACGAAAGTATGTTTCCAATGCGATTTACAAACAGAGGTCATTTTTTCCAATGACCGAGGTAACAAGATTCTAATGAAATTTGAAAAACTACGTAATGGTTGTTATAAGGAGATTGATGGCCCTGTGTGGCTTGTAAGTTGTCGGAAGTGTTTAAGTAAGAGAGGACACAGGGTTACCGTTTTTTTTTTTCGCAACGTTGGAAACGGTTTCCTTATGGAGACTTAACGCTACTTAAGTTAATCCGTTGAACGTAATTCGAGTTTCGTGAGTTGATTCCTTTATCCCGATTTATGTACCAAACACGTACGAAAGTGGGAAAGGATAAAACGGTGCTTTGAGATTTAAAACATACGTTTTGAGGAATTGCTCATTATTTGGGATAATTGAAATCACATTTGACAGCAGCCAGTGGCTTATTCCTCTGCCATGACCAAACCAAAGAATTTCAGTCATCCACAGGGTTGCATAACATTCGACCTTTGAAAATGTTCGCTAAAGTTAAAAGCCTTTTGGGTTGTTGATTTTGGGTCTTTTTGCGTATCAGCATATACTGATTTCATCTTTTCGATAAATAAAGCTTTTGACCGGAAACTTGTAGAGAATTATACTGGTTTTGACCTCAAGAGTCCGGCATTTCCCGTAGGTACAAAAACAAATGAAAATGAAAACTGGAATTTTGTGGATTCGTATTGTAAATATTGCAAAATCTATTCGGTGTCCCATAGCTATATCAATTTTCAAAATGAAGACACATTTCATTGTGCATACTCCTGCACTTTCCTCTTAATAGTTTAGTTATTTCCCGACGGTCGCAATGATTAACCTTTTTTCAGCCTTCCGGCGACAAATCTTATTTGTAAAACCATAAAATCACTGTTAGGATATCTGTAATCCATCACTAATACAAGGAAAGCTTGTTCACAAGTCTGCACTATTACATTTTATCAAGCGTGTAAAAAATGGTCATCACAGCTCTCAATTCATGGAGCTTTTGCCGCTCTCTGTTTTGTTTCCATAACCGTGACTTTAAGGTCTCTATCCTCTTGTTTAAAACGACGTTTTCGGTAAAGTGTCAATCGACCCAAGTTGAAAAAAATATCGACCATAATCAGTCACGAAAGCAATTAATTAGACAGGCAGTTATGAATCATTGATCTGGCGCAGGATAACGGGTTGCCCTCGGTTCAGCTCTCAGTGTGAACTTCTTCTTGAGTGACTGTAGAGGGCAACTCCAGAATAACAATCTACATGGGTTGCTCTATTAAAACGAAAAGCAACCCCAAAAGCCAAAAAAAGGCCTCTTAACTCGGCACTTGAACGGTTTTACAGCTCCCTTTAGGTAAAATACTGTGTACTGATTTTTCGAAGAGAGAGACTCTTCTTTGCACTAATATCAAATTTTAGAATCTTTGTGCTTAAAATTTTCCAGTTTAGTAATATGAATGTAAGGTAAATTATTTATTTTCTTACGGCATCGTGTTCATTCGTCAGACCTCACCTGCTGTTCTTGTCTTTCCATTGTGTTGGAATCTTTTCAAAAGTTCTTATGTCCTAATGATGCTAACCTGACAAATACTTGTCAATTATCTATCATCAAATGCCAATGTTCTTGCTTTGGACCAATAGGAAATTTGGACTTAAATGGCTTGAAATAACACGATTTGAACTGTCATCAAGCAGTTTATAATGGATAGCTCAACACTGGCCAGAAAGTATTCAGCGTCGAAACCAAGAACGGTGATTTTCCTAAGAGGCTTCCTGTGATAAAAATGTCGTACGAGACGAACGAGACGAACGGCACGGAAAAAACCTCAAGCACACAAGCTCTCGCAATTGATAGAAACAAAAATTTTCGAGATTTTGAAGATGCTGATCAACTCAAAAAAAAATTATGCTTTCGAAAAATTCGGCAAAACACCTGTCTCGTGGCTGTTGGGTTGATAACTGTCCTTTTAGCCATCGCTTGTCTTGTGTTAGTCATCTTTCTCGTTAGAGAAGTCAAAAAGAATCATCAGTCGAACATGGAGCCGACTGAAGCAACTGAAGGCACAATAAGTCAAGATCAACATTGTTACACCTCGGACTGCTTGCAAGTTGCTGCTTCCTTAAAACGGAATATGGACTCGTCTGTTGATCCCTGTGAAAACTTTTATGAGTATTCGTGTGCCTCTTGGATCAGGTTAAATCCGATTCCACCCTCAAAGAGTTTTTATGATACTTTCATTCAAGTTGAAGACGAAAACGCGCGGAGGCTTCGTGAATTAATGGAAGAGGTGGATGAGCTTCCGAAACAAAGTGCTGTTAAGAAGACTAAAGGTTACTTTCACTCGTGCGTTGATGAGGAAGCAGTGGAAAAGGCAACAAACACTGGTCTGATACCATACATATTCAAATATGGCTCTTGGTCTTTGGATAAGAAAAAGTGGATCGCATCGCAGTGGGAATGGTCCGAGGTTTTGCAAGAAATGATCAGAGATCTTGCAGACACGCCCCTCTTTAAAGTGCAAATTGAGATTAATCCTCGAGATTCTTCACAGCATATGATATTGGTAAGTGATGTTTAAAACAGCAGAGAAATTACTTTTTGAACTTTGCCTTTTAAGTTTTGTACTAGTTCTTTAGAGTTTTTTCAGTGCTAGAGATATAGAACCTGTGATAACCTTAAAGGCTTACGAAGGCTTATAGTAAGAACTTAAGAGTACCAGTTCAGTATTCCAAACATAAAAAAATGTGACCTTTTCCTGATAACGTGAGGTAATCTCTTGTCGCTCGCATGAAATAGCAAACATATTTGAACAAAAAAGATTTGAACGATATATGAAAAGGTACTTCTGTTTCAGTGGCAAAGCTTGGTTTGAAACCAATATGTCAAGCAGCATCACTGAATTGGTTATATAAAGCAAGTGATGTTGGCTACTGGTTTTGTTTGTTACTACTGTGATCATTGTGAGTTATTGTTCAATGATGCTACAGCTTCAGTCTTTATCTTTTTCTCTCATCTGTTTCTACCACTACTGCTTCTGTTACTGAATTTCCAATTAAAGATAAAGATAAAGAATTTAACAGAAGAATTATAACGAAAAACTCCTTGAAACATTTCAAGACCTTACGTGATTGATGCAATGTTTAGATCTCTAATATACAATCAATGATTTGAAAACATTGGAGATTCATTCTATGGAGAGATTATTCGACTTCAAAAGAAGGTTTTGTTATTCGCTTTACTTGCTGTGTTTTTCGAATCATTTAATGTGTTTGCCGTGTCTGGAAATTGATTTGTAGTTGGGAAATTACAGAGACTTGAAGACGTCGCAGATCATATAAACGGCAACAAATTTATGTCAGGCTGTGTAGAATAAAGGGGAATAAGAAACGTAAACTTAAGTATATATTTTTTCCCGTCAGTAACAACTGGCTATGCACAAAAATAGGAAATAAAAGATAATTTGGAGCTAGAGAGATCATTATGAATACTAGAAATAATCACCTGAATACAATTGTTAGTTTTAATCCTTATCTAACTAGATTGAAAAAGCTGGAGTAAAAGTTTTTTGCTTTCATCACTGATCAGTGAAAAAACCAGCTCGGTGAATACTTGGATAGTATTAATGCTTGGATTCAAGTCGATGGAAATTGTTGGTGTTTGGATTTACCCAAAGTTATGAGCCAGAATCCACAAAATTGTACACCCGGCCAATAACTACCGTAGATGTTTTATGTTTGATCTGTGTAACATCTTAACGTATCAACCTATTCACTTAAGCCATCTTATCAAAACTTATTTCAGTCCTTAAAAATCGAGACAACCTCTGCTGTAACGGATTAAACGACGTGACTACGATCTGTAACCAATATTCATCAACTGGCGTAACGTGGCCTGATCTTTGAGAGAATAAGTTCTCAGACTTATCAATAATTAAATCCCAGTTTTGAATGAGAAGCAAATCAAGAATTGAAATTCGCACGGATGTGGTGTTGTTCACTCTATGGAAAAAATGGCTTTCCGCTTCGTTCTAATGCCAATTAATTTCTTAAATTAATCCAGTTCACTTTAGTTCATGGTAAGTAAACAAACAGTTCTTGAAATTTGTCTAGCCTTTTCCCTTTTTTAAGATCGTCAAGTCTTTGTATAGAATATCGACGGGTCAATTTGAGGCGCCGGGCGAAATCCGTGCGTACACGAATCATTCACTAGCAATGTTTTCAAACTTCAAATGCACAGTCTAAACAACTTTCCATAAGCAGGTAACAAACTATATTTCTTACCTTGAAACTAGAGGAAGCAGCTTTTTGCCACAACAGACGAACAGTCACTTCAATCGGGCGCACAGATTTATTTGGTATTTCGGTCGAAAATAAAGTGCGTCATAGTGTACCGGCTTTTTATTTGTTATTCATTTCGTAGATATCAAACTGAATATATTCATCAAACCCTTTCCTCTATCTTAGTCAATCTTTCAGCAGCTAAAGCATCGACCAAATTCACCAACCCAACAACATCGAGTTTGAAACTCTTTGTCGCTTCCAAGGATCAGGAGACAACAAGCAACAAAGCTTTCAAGAATAAAACAGGTCAGGAAAAAAAATCAACCAACATCCGGTGCAGTCCCTTTGCATTTCGTAGTCCTGTCATCTATTTCGTTAATCACATGTCGGCCACGTGACTATATGTTTTGAGTTGATAACTTAAATAGGCCTTTTGCAGCTAAGCCATCACGTGAGCTACTTTTCATGAAATTATGGGCTATAACTCAGCCGAATTCAGAAAAGGAAAAAGCATTTCGAAAATAACAAAATGAGGCCTCCATTATTCAAAAATGAGATTTGATGACACTCTGAATTTTTTAATAAATAAAATAAAAAGGTTTATATGGAAAAAGTTGCTGGAGAGCAAGGCCTTGCTCTCTAGCAACATTTTCCATACAAATCCTCTAAATTTTCCGAAAGTTCAAACCGCTTTAAAAACAGTGCTCTGTAATTCCCGGGGCCCAAACTTGGCCGTTTTGGCATTTTCGATATGCTCTTTCCATCTCTGGTATTCTTCAAGTTGTATCTCATAATATATATCTAATATTGATCACATGACCCCAGCTGCAAAAGGCCTATTGACCACCTTAAAGAGTCCTAAAAGCTGACATTTTTCGTCATTCGCTCTGTGATCCCCTTACCGACGCAGCACCACAGTTTCTATAGTAAAGGCTGATAGTTTCTAAAGAAACTGTTTGGGGCTGCGTCGGTAGGGGTAACGAAATAATTTGGATATATCAACAAAGTTGAAATGGTAAATTGGCCAACTTAACGATTAAAAAAGCTGACGTTTCGAGCGTGAGCCCTTCGTCGGAGCGAATAGAGGAATTGTGGGTTGTGTGTGCTTTTATAGGCAGAAAATGGAGCTACGTTAGTGGTGGGAACATGGCAACGAGTAAAACACGAATAAAATAATTAGTGGAATGAAAAGCGTTCGTTGATACCTGTGGGATTTAGACTGTGCCGGTTTAAAAGATGAGCTTTTGTTCAAGAGTTTTACGGCTTTTCGTGCTACCTAAGTGTAAGGAAAGGCCGCAAATTTCGGTCTACAGTAGATTGCGGTTTCTATAGTAACCTACCCCCATTATTCATGACTATGAACTAACTTTTTCCATAATCGCAGTTTTTTCTCTCAATGTAAGGGAGCTGGGGGTGAATTGTTTCGATCTTCGATTCGGCGATGCAAGATTCATTAGAATGTAATCGACTAAACTGGCAAGTGATTGTCAGTTTAAAAAGTTTTTCTCTACAATTTAATCATGGAGAATACATGCCAAAAAAAAAAAATGTAACATTGTGCGCAAATAAAAATTTTCGCTACCCGCCCAAAGTTTTCGTCAGATTGAGGCCTGCATTATTGGAAATTTGGACAAATCAGTTTGTTTTTCTTCTTCAAAACAAGTCTGACATATTTCTAAGCCCAATTTTTTAGAAAGAAAATCAACGTTTTTCAGCCAGTGACACAAGCATAATCGTGAAACGGGAATTCTCAGAGCTATCAACAGCATGAAAACCAATGCCAATCAGATTCTCTAACACTGAGCTACAAAAGATTCTTCTATACAATTTACAGAAACACGTCCATCTCAGGGTTGCTAAGAGCATGCTCTTTGTAACGGCCTTACTGTTTATATCTTCCTCTTTGTGTTGGAATATTGAGTAAAATCTAAGCCTGGATAGCTGTAAAAGGCAAATTCTCAAAATATGTCAGCAGATTATCCCTTCCCCTGAATTTACCATCTTTTGAAATAATGTAAATGGTTTTTACATGACACCTCCCTTACCTAAATTGGTGTAAATGATCGAATAGGCTCCTAGATAAGATCAGTGTTGACGGGTATCAATCAATCAATCAAGCAAGCGATCGTTCCATCAATTATTCATTTGTTTATCTCTCTACGAGGCGCTTTGGAGCATTATTATACATTGTAGTCACCATCTGTCTTCTCATTGGCTAAACGGCTACAGTTAATTCTGGGAAACAGCGCAACCTACAGATTATTCACTAATCTGAACCTACAGATTAGTGAATAATCTGTAGGTTGCTTCTGGATTCGCTTCATCGACCCAGCGAGAAATTGAGAAATTACTTGAAGATAAAGATTCGGAAAATACTAAAAGAATGTATAATAAAAAACAATTTTTGGATTCAGTTTTTGTGATATCCGGAATAATCAAGGTCTCGGTTAGTGTTATCAGCCTCAGCCTTCGGCTTCGGCTTCGGCTTCGCTTCGGCTGATAACACAGTACCTCGACCTTGATTATTCTGAACATCACAAAAACCTCATCCAATAATTGTTTATAATCACACTCTATAGAGCAAGGCGCTCGTATTAATAAATATTGCAAATTTACAAAATAAAACTATACAAAGTCATAAATAAGTAAGTGAAAGAGAAAATAGTAAGGTTTGAATAAATAACTCACAAACATATACACTTCACTTCATTTAAAAAATATACACTTCATGCATTGGCTAGTAAATGTATTTGAATAGTTTAAAGTAAATAATAGTTTAATAGTAAATAACCTCTGATCTGGCAGAGGTCCGTCGCACTCTGAGTAACTGACACCTCAACTGACTCTGTGTTGGAGAAACACGCATTATCCAGCAGAGTTGAGCTTCCCTGGGGGCCACGAAATCTGTGCTAAAGACGAGAAGACAAATAAGTGAAGCTCCTGCTGTGTAACAGGGTCGGCATGGCCTATAAAAATGAGGGACTTTTGTTACGCACTAACGCCGGTGGGACTTGATATCTAGTTCGAGGACATGAACGACGTACGGACCGAGCGCAGCAAGAAGGTCTATACTTCTGGATTTTTGTCGTTTTGTTTGTCTTTTTTTTTTTGCCTTAATTACAACGATATTTCAAACACCTAGGATAAATAAATTATACAGAGAAAAAAATTACAGAAACCTTACTTACAGTTTACACTTAAGACGTAATACAGCTATACTTACATTTCTACCTTACATTCTTTACATCTCTTATTGCCAAAAGAGTTTTTTTCATCAGTTTCCACCAGTATAAAACTTTAAGTACCTTTGTACGCCAGTAAAATCGGGGTGACATCCTTCATTTAACATAAAATAATACATAAAAAAGCGAACAGCTCGACCTAACTTAGTCCATAAGCATTCTATCATAGGACCGTGTTTTTTTTTATTAATTCTTTCTTCTTTCCACTCGCAGCTGTCGGAGCCGTACCTGTTCACGCCATCGCGTACGGGCCTTATACGGGGATTTTTGTCCAAGCTATTTCAATAAAAGTGCGCTGTACGTACGGGTCATATAACAATTAAAATATGACCGACCTCAGACTAAGAGGAAATACTTTCACAGCATCCAAACTGGTGGTAGTTCTTTTTCTTTTCGCACAATGAGGAACCAAGTGCGTACCTTCTAGTTCTAATTTAGCACGTGTCGAAACGAAGCGACCTCTATTCCGATCAATAACATTCACTACAAGGTATATCAGTTCCAAACACTGGGCATCTCAGTAACTTTGATCAAAAGTCCGAAGGAAATGAAAGAGTCAATTTTTCATTTTCAACTCAGTTCTTTCTGAGCTGCGGAAAATAGCCAGCCAGACTGTGGCGAGTAAGGCTCCACTCGTGCCTAACGCTCGATATATAGTGTAAGTCGATGCTTGCGAAAATTTGGCGTCCAATGAGAAAGAGGTAATCAAAATGAACAGTTTCGTTGTGGCTCATGCAAATCCAGGCCTGATGCAAATCATAGACTGCTTGGAAAGTGTGAGATTTTAATACACTGGCGGTATAATTTCCGTTCGAGAGATGGGGAACAACGAACGGATGTCTGTCTTTCTTTTTCTGTAACTCCTGCACGAAAGTCACGAACTTTTTTTTCTTTCTTTTTTTTTTTTTACACCCAGTCCTCTCTCTGGGTGGCTAACAGTCAACTGTGAACTTAAATTCTTGAAAGGTCTCCTCAAGTGATACTTCGCACAGAAGGACGACAATACGTCACTGGTAATGAGGTTAACTGACGTTTCAGTAGCATTAAGTCCTGCATATATTCCGTGATAGATAGTTACAGCATGAAACTTGGAGCGCTATCGCCCTTAATGATTTGTTGTAAATTACAGACACGTTGCGATGGCTTCCTGGTCGAATCTGATCTGCGGAAGAGAAACATCATTGCTGAAATCAAAGAACTCAGTATTGATCTGAAACCTCTTTAAACATCTTCTGTTAAGAAGGAAACGTGTGTAATTAAAAAGAAACTTCCACTCAGTCTGAACATGCCTAATAATTCTCTTTTCTCTCTTCAAAATACTGGTTTTTGTGGCTACAACTGTTCCACAGCTGTTTTGCTTATTTCATCTGCTCATTTTCACACTTTGGAGATCGAAGTTCCTCGGTCTTTTTGGTGGAAGGAGTCTAGACTGCCTTCTATCTGACAATTAGAATTCATTTAATACAATTATGTTGACTAAGTTATCATAACAGTGCCCAGGTGGGTGGAGTCAAGCACCGCGCTAGCTAAATAATCACGCGGTGCAATCTTGGTTTGAACTGTCCTTTACACTTTGTTTTGTCTCATTTGTTGGTTTTTTCTCGTTTTTTGTCCTCATGGAATTGACACTTAGAAGTTGATATCATGATGAATGTAGTTGGAATCTTCAGATAACTTATTACGGTTGCGAAATAGCTGGTTTGGCACCCTAAATTTAAGTTTGCACCTTGCAGTGATCTCCTTGAAACGCTGGACAACGGCCAAAAGAGGTAATAGTCAAATAAAAAGAAAGGTATGTCACTGCGAGCACAAGATAGAGTGAGAGGGAAAAATTAACCTTTTATCAGGCAGTGTACCTCATAAACGATTCCGAAAAGGTTCTGAAGACATCTCGAAACAAAAGAAGACAAAGTGTAAACATCGCATTGAAACAAGCTTATCTTATGTCACAATCTGACGTCGGCTCATTACGGCATTCCATGTCAATACTGTCATTAGATTAAACATATACAAAGCGTTTGAATGTTAAGTAAGCACTCTGGTGCTGCCCCTTCAGGAGACAGCACAGCAAGGACCAGGAGTTAAAATGGATTCACATCGATCTAAAATTGATGCAGAGCCAGGTTTTACTACAAGCACCATGAGCTTGGGTGTCCACTCTCAATCAAGTGGTTCCATCTTTTACTCCAAACGGAGGAAGAAAGTGACCATGGGTTTGATTTTTACCAGTGTAGCATTGCTTCTCGTCTGTATTGCCCTCGCTGTGTGCCTTGTTGTGGTTAGTTCGCGTGATCAAGAGAAAGATATGGGTAACGCAGATGGGAAAAATGGACACAAGCAAATGCAATGTACTTCAGATGCATGTTTGGCAGTAGCTTCCGCAGTTAAGAAGAGCATAAATGAGTCCGTCGACCCGTGTGAGGACTTCTTCCACTATTCCTGCGACGGTTGGATAAAGCACAACCCCATTCCGCCATCTCTCAACTGGTTCTCCACTTTTGGAAAATTAGCAAAGCTAAACAGCGAAAAAATGTTGTTACTCCTGCTACAAAATGATGACCTGCCCAGAGAACATGCTGTTTCGAAAACAAGAAACTATTTCAAGTCATGCATGGCTGAGGAGGAAATCGAAAAAACTTCCCTAAACGAGCTAAAAAACCTCATTACTAGATTCGGTTCCTGGCCCCTGGGTGATGTTTCATGGAACGAGTCAACTTGGAATCCTATCAAACTTTTAGCGTAGTTGCAAAGAGATTTTTCGACCGGGTCACCTCTGTTTGTATTAGGCTTGAGCGTGAACCCTTTCAACTCCTCGAAACGCGTCTTACAGGTATTACATTACTTGGACAATTGTTATGTTTTAGAGCTCATCAAGTGATTATATCCATTACCAATTCAATACCATGCTTTAAATTCTAATCATAACACCATTTACTGACTATTGTTTGTTTTCTCAAACGGGCGGTACACCCAAAAGCAAAGTGTTGAAGTGCCTAAGTTCTTGGAGAGAGAACCTTTCGTGCCCTTTTGGTTACGTGTTAATCAAAGGGATACCGAACGTCGGTAGATCATGTATTACATCGCTGAAGTATTTCATTGCACCCTTCAGGCTATCGTTAATGTACAGGCATCATACGACCCCCCATACGGGGTTATCGGTAACAGTTATGCAAATGACTAAAGGGTCATGGTTGCTCCAACATTGACGATTGAATGATTTAGAATAATTGCATGTCGACGATAAAGGCTTGCTATTTAAGGAGGCTAAAATATCTAATAAAATACACAGTCAACATATCGTAAAATGTTGACTGAAACAGATCAATTTAATGCAACGATTCCCCGGGCTGTCGATCACTTTTTAGTAAGCTCATTGTTCCGAGGGATTTTTTTCGTGCTTTTCAAGCGTTTTGGTATTTTTAGGTCTTAACATCGTCATTGAGGACGTTTCCCGTTGTTAAGCTGGGCATAAATATTGACAAACCTCTGTAAACTAACCATGCAAAAAGAGAAAAATTGAAAAAAAAAAAGTTTACAATACATTGCTTTTGTTCTCTTCGGCTTCAACAGACATTTGGGAGTTTCTCATTTTAACGTGGTTCTTGTCGGTAGGATGAGAAATGTCTTTCCAGGGTGAAGGAAATCACAAACAGCGACCTGAAATAAACTACAATGTGGGTTTCAGAACGTTTGGTGACATATATGGCGAGTTATGCTCCAAACCATATGAGCAAAAAAAATAGATTTGCATAATGAACAGAACACTGTAGCCTTTAGCCGTATCCTTTGACAGCTAAAATCATCCTAAGCTTCTTGAACTAAACTTGGGTAAATATGTCAACATTTTATACTTTTTTCGCAGATAATGCCTCCGACTTTGAGTCTGATTCGCGAGAAGTACCTAGCCCCGGAGAACAAGGTATTCTACTTATCTCTAAAATTTTCCTACTCGATCCTACGCATATACAGTCACACTAAGTGGTCGGAAAAACGCTGAGACAATACTTACTAAGATAAGCAGATTACGTCTCTTGGTCCAACCCTTATTTTAGAGCTTAAACAGTCACAAAGTAAGGGCCATAACAACCTGAGAGCTTAAGGAATTTATAAGGGGAAAGCCTCAAAAAACTGAAAAAGAAAGATAGAAAAAAAGAAAAAAAAATTGTTTTCTAGTCCTCCATCGGCATAGAGGTCCGTTAGCTGCGTGCGGAGATGTCAACAAATATTGAAAAACGAAAAAAATTTGCCATCAGGGCTTCCGTGCTGAGAAATGTGCAAACTGACTTAATTCATCGGTTTCACTTTGAATACGATGAGTAAGAAATACTATTAATAAAGCTTTTAGGCTAAAATCTTTCGCTCGCACCAATTACTGGACAAAGACATAAGATAAAGGTGATAAATGGACAGGGAAAATAGCAGATGAGGGGATATTATGGCAATTGACTTCAACTTTCAGAGCCAAAATTAAAAAAAATGTATGCCAGACAGTAAGAAGAACTTATCTTGAGATCTTGAAGTTCATCAATTTTTTTGTTTTACCCCTCGCCATGATGATTTGCAACGTCTTTAAAGACCGATATAATACATGTAACGACCTGTTCTACTAATCAAACTGCGTTAAAGTTATCGTTATGTTCTACCCTAGACACGTTTGGCTTATCTGAAATTCATGACAAAAGTGGGGAAGCTTCTTGGCGGAGGAAACGACACGAGAGATCAAATGGCGGAGGTTATGGAGCTTGAGGCAAGGCTGGCAAATGTACGTAAATCACAGTCTGCCACTTTGAACTATCGTAAAGCCAGCGAATCCATTAGATTTTAAATATGTCGAGAAATGAAAGTTTGTTCTTGGTCTGTGGTGATGGCAAATGAAAAATTTTCACCAGAGTGTTTGACTTAGTTGTGGGGGGAGAGTCGGGGAAGAGACTGGGGGAGAGTTGTTACAGTGGATCTTAAGACCGGGGAGAGCTGAGGAAGAGTTATTATGGGGGTATCGAAAGTTCCACAATAAGAGGTTGATCAGACAGGGTTCCTCGTCTTGTCTTCTATCCACAAAGAGCCTCTCTCAATCCAGGATATGAGTAGATCATGACTAGGAAACTGTAAAGTTACTTGATGGTCAACCGTCAATGCAGGCTTAACGTAATATCAATACTGTCAATTAGGACTATTTTGTATAAAAGCAGTAGCTTTGTCCTTAATGTTTCTTCAGATCACTCCTCCGCGAAGCGTTTTAATACAAAATTACCATCGCCACATGAACATATCAGAACTCGAACGACAAGCGCCTGGTTTTAAGGTAAGGTTCTAGAAAAAATTAAACTCAGATACAGTCGATCGAACCTGTACTTAGCGGTCCATCACAGGACTGGCAAGGTTACCGCTAAATATTGATTGAGCGCACAATACAAGTTCCGTAGAGTGATATCAGAAAAGACAATAAAACAACCTGCCATTTTATGCCAAACAAACTAACAAACAAACAAACACTTTATTTACCGAGGGTAAAATACATTATTTCCGGTTACCCGGTATTTTACATAATGGCCCCCAACAAATCCTACTAAATATAAAAATACCTAATAAAAAATTCATGATACTAAAATTGAACTTAAAACGTCCTACTGATCTTATGCTCTATCGAGGTATTTTCTTTAATAAAATTTTTCAGTAACGTTATCTTAAAATTTGAGTGGGAAGTTATGTTTCTAAATGAGTTACCTAGTTTAATCCATAGCCTACATGTACTTGAGTGGAAAGTTCTAAGCCCTGAGTTTCCTTTACAAGATGGTGTTAGAACGTCATTACAGATAGCAGATCTAGTATAATAACCATGTGAAGATCTGACATAATTAAAATATGAACTAAAATATTCAGGACAATGACCTTGGCTAACTTTATTTAGCATACAAAGTTTTCTAACGCGTACAATGTCATCTATAGGTAACCAGCTTAATTTTTTAAAAAGTTCAACGGAACTATCGTTGATGGTGGCGTCTAAAATTAATCTCCACTTAATTGACCACTTAATGTACAAAAACTCGCTTAAGAATACTGCTAGCATTTTGGATGATGAACATGGATTGATATATGCTTGTAAGCTTGTTCTTAGTTTTATTTGAGTGGTTACGTTTTAAGAAGAAGACAAAACAAACAACTGTGATCACGACAGCCAGTCATAATGAAGGTTTACGGTATCATTAGCCAATGAGGACTCAGAGTCAAAATAGTCAAACCATTAAAAAAAAGGCGCCAAAACATGGGTGACCGAGCCAAGGTTAGTTTTTGTTTCGCGTCTGATTGGTTAAGAGGATGGCGGAAGTTTTGTTGAGCAATCACAGACTGGATTGATGTAAAACCAAAACGATCTCGGATCACTTTCGACACAATTGAAAACTCCTCTATTAGCTACACGTCATAAGAGCGTCACCACGAATTGCATTCAGTTGCAGCTGTAATTGAACTTATGCTCGCTAGAAATTTTATTTTCTGGGAAACAATTCCAGAATACGTGAATCGCTTAGAAACAAAAATTTTTTTCCGAAGGCAAATGTCTTTGAATTTTGTTTACAAAACCAGTGATGCGACATGAAAAGTGCTATTTTAGCTGTGATAGTTGAATTCCTCATGTGTAAAAGTAAGAGCGCTGCTTGATTCTCTTTTAGTTCACGTGGTTACAATACATTAACGATGTACTAAGACCTTTCAACGTATGGGTGAACGCTACTGACAGCATTCTTGTCCCATCGCCAGAGTATCTGAAGGGTTTGTCTTCTATTGTTAATGAGACGGATAAGAGGTAAGCTCAAATCGGTGAAACTTCTCTTTCGCTTTCATCATTGCACCATCCCCGATCATAATACTAAGAAAAAACAGCATTAAACAACTGTTTGAAAGTCAAACTTCTCGACTAGTCCATACGGGAAGATTCGAAATTAAAACAACCGTTTTTTAATGATTCAAGTGCCGAACTGTCCATGTACTTAGTTCAGTCAAAGGACTAGCCTTAGTTCAGTTCATTTAATGTTTTGCTTCTAAACCGGGTCCTAAATGAACAATGTTCTTTTCAGGATCCTGTCGAATTACATGATGTGGACGTTCGTGCGCGCTGCTATTCCATACCTGTCACGTGACTTCCGGGCTGCTAAACTAGAATATGAAAAGGAAGTAGAGGGGAAGAAGTCAGCCACACCTCGATGGTTGTACTGTGTGGAGGAAATGAATGGCTATTACCATGGACTTACTTTTGCGTTGGGTTATATTTATGTTACCAACGCCTTTGACTCTGAAGTCATACCATTAGTGAGTGAAAAATTAGATCTGTACCAAATTCCTGTTTCTTGATGCTGGGATGTGGGTAAGGTATCCAGTCGTTTCTTGCCCACGAACCTTTCGTATTCAGTTGATTAGCACTCAAATTCAGACGATTCGTATCCCCTTTATGTCGGTTCGTACCCAACCCCCGCGCAATTCCGAGGTAACAGTTACGGTTTTGTCAGATTTTTTCGCTTGGTTCTAAGCATAGTGGAAGTCAAAATGTGTTAAGAACGAAGAAGTGGCACACAAAGAGTAGTCGAGTGTGTTACTAATGTTCTTATCCCAATTTGACGTCTTTTGTGATCCATTACCGTATAGCCCCACCACAACATGGAATCTATTTATTTTATACGATAAAAAGCAAAAGCAAAATTTGTTAATCGTGACGTCATCTATGCATCTGTCCTCCAATAGATTATAAGTAAGAACCAATCAAATACATGTATGATTCTGCTTATCATGATATGATTATTTGAAGATACAAGAAATGATGTCAACAATAAGGAAAACTTTTCGAGACGAGACATCGCGCGATGACTGGATCGATGAACAAACACGGCAAAAAATAATTGAAAAGGTTAGTGTTGTTTTATCTTTACCTGAATCGGTAGCTTGATTTTGAAACCCTTTTAATTGCTATGACTTGACTATTTCCCATTTTCATTGTTATTCTACTGTGATTATTGATCCGTTTATCCTTAATCGTATAAAATCCCCAGTATAACAAATTCAATGAACCATGGCCAGCTTTGTTTCTTAACCTGCAATGCAGGCGTACAAACCAGGAGATTATAAACAGCTAATAATTTCTTGTTCAAACCATCATCTCGTAAAATTGTTTCCCTCCATCTTAGCAATTCAAAGTTGAGAGAAATGTCACAATAGTTGACAATTATTCGTGGAAGTGGAGGTAAAAATAGCACTTGCTAATCACTTCCGAACTAGTCAATCAGCGCGCGCGAAAAGCACTTTTCATCTGTGTTGTATATCATGACTGAATATAGACATCTACCCAATGAAGCAAGACGGTCTCGTGATGGATCACGGGCTCTAGTAAACTTGTTGAAGTTCCCATGAGAAAGCTTCCAATACAGGTTACAATACGTTCGTATGCGCATAAAGTATAGCCTCGCGAAGTAAAGACTCATCCTGCGAAAAATGATACTCAAATACAAGGGACCTCGCTCTCTGGAATCTTTCCGAAGAAATTTAGGTATTCACTTGACAAAAAATAGTCATAGCTAGAAATGGCCAACTTAAGATGACTTTTTTTGTGAGCTCTTAATTACTTGCAGGAAAAAGCAATGAAAAACAATGTTGGCTTTCCGAAGTTGTGTTCCAATGAAACTTTACTGAATGAGTATTACAAAGATGTAAGTACCGTTTAGGTAACTTAGGAACTTGTCCTAATTTATTACTTGGGGGGGGGGAGGGGAGGTCGGCTAAGTGGCCCATCGGGTAGACGCTTAACTCCGGTTTCCGCAACATGAAGCGACTATGAGTATTTCTGCTCCCCCTGAATGGAATGCTAGTCCATCGCAGGGTTACCCCCAGCATTAAATTCACAGTGAGAGTAAATGTCATGCCCAAGAAAACGAAACCAACACTATACCAACAACAATATCTACATACCAACAACAATATCTACAAATCTATTTAATACTGACCCCCCTCATCATTCCGTTCCTGAAACTTGTTTGGCTTCACTTTGAAAAAATTGTGATCACACTCCATTGTCGTCATCATTTGGTTTAAGGTTAACATCAGTCGCAGTAATTATTTGAGAAATGCCATGGATGTGACGAAATGGCGAAGGCGGTCTCAATTTTCGATACTCAAGACTCCGGTTGACAAAGAACAGTAAGTGGTCTTCAATTCAATCAGTGAGCCACAGGACTATGGGGTCCTAAGATTCGGCGAACGAAAGTTAAACGCGGCTGCCAGGTGAAGAGCTTAGGGGTATCCATGTCAAAAAGTTCAGCTTGGAGCCTTAGCTACTGTTATTCGTTGTCATCTGTCTTTGTGTAGTTTAGGATTTCTATCTATATTTCTTTATAACATCACTTTTAAATCGTTGACAGAAGGCAAGGTGTGATGCCATGTGTAACTTCTGTTTTTTTTTTTTTTTTCTGTCTAACACAATTTTTTTGTTTGACTGTTATAGGTGGTATTTCGGTCCGCAGCTGGTCAACGCTTTCTACCTACCCAATAGAAACGAAATAAGTAAGAATCGTTGTGGTAAAAAAGAGTGTGCTTTTTTTTTCGTTTTTCGATTTTAATTTCCTTGAAACTAGTACTAGTAAAATATCAAATTAAAGAGGTGTCGACTGCGTTCAACGATTACTACAATAACGAACGAAACCTTTGCAGATCGATCATTCAATTCATTCAATTTGATCCCAAAACTATTTTGTTTCAGAGTCTGTGTCGGACACCAGTTGTTCATTGTAGTTCATCAAGCAGTTCTTTTTCTTTTATTCATAACTAACTAGACATCCTGGCAGGAATTCTGCAGCCTCCATTTTATTACGGACGAAAAGCACCGAGGTATGAATGTTTTGTGTTATTTGTCTACGCGTTTTAGGGAAGAGGAGGCAGCGCGTGGAGAGCGCGTGGAGAGCGCGTGGAGAGCGCGACACAAGCTCCAAACGAGCACGGAGGACGAGTCATGTGCGAAAGGAGGAGCGCGAAAAGTGACTCTTCCCTTGCGGCCACCTTGCACTTGTGTCCGTAGGCCGGAAATGCAGGCTGTATCTTATTCTCAAAGAAGTCTAACTAGCCGAAAGCTAAGCTCTCCGCAAACACTGATGTGAAAATATCTTAAGCAAACGGCATCATCGCATATGATAGTCGTTTGCGGATAGTCTTCCATCAGTTATTCCGGAGCATGGTAATGATGGTTTCGTTTTCAAATTATCCAGGCTCTAACCTCTATCTCACACTTTTAGGGCGGTCAACTTTGGAGCAATAGGAATGGTACTGGGTCACGAGCTGTCACACGGGTTTGATGCATTAGGTCAGTGGCAAAATACACATTTCACACGTAACTTTGACAAAAATTTAGGTGCAAATCAATTATTTCTACAAACTTAGGCAGTTTTCTAAGAGTCAATGAGCCTTAGCCTTGCTCTCGTGCCTTTATTTTAGCAGATCCCTGAATCCTGAGAACTCGGAAAGGAGCTATAAGATCGCAAAATTGAAATCTAGTGATACATAATATGTTTGACAGCCAGAGTTGAAGGAAGGTTTCTATTCGTGAAATGATATGGTATATACTTTGATTAAAATGATCGTCAACAGATTGTGGGTTTTTAGTGAAGAACCACCACAATAAGCAGTTGCCATTCACGGTAACTAACACAAAGGGGGCCAGTAGAAAATTGTGTTTTTGTGTGTGACTTTTTAAAATTTATTTTTAATTTCTTACACCAGGAAGGTATTTCAATGAAAATGGAGAGATGACGGATGATTGGTGGAGTGCAGAGACTTCACAAAAGTTCTTAGAAAAATCAAAGTGTATAGTGAATCAATACAACAATTACTCTGTGGACGGGGAAAATGGTCCAATACACGTAAGTCTGCAAGTTTTGATGGAATAACTATTTATTTCCTCAATAGCAGAGAAGTCGTTATCGGCGCCATAGGAGGGGATGACCATTGCGTTGCAATCCCAGAAAAGCAATTTTAAATATGCTCCGTGTACTTTGACCAGGCTACCCTGCTCTCTCTCACTGACCGTCATATACTCGTCCCTTGTTTTTATATTTAAACTATATATATATATAATATGTGGTAGTCGGAAAAAAAACAACTACAGATACATCCCTACAGACCTGTTTCGTGGTTGCCCACTCATCGGGGGATTTTAATGGCAGAATAATGCGATACCATCGCTTATATATTACACTAATTGCTAATTAACTTGGTTTATGCATTGTGAACTCGTCTCTTCCTGCCGACACAGAAACAAAGCACTCCTACGCAACAGCTGACTTGACACTTTTCACACTGCATAAACCATGTTAATTAGCAATTAGTGTAATATATAAGCGATGGTATTGCATTATTCTGCCATTAAAATCCTCTGATGAGTGGGCAACCACGAAACAGGTCTGTAGGGTTGTATCTGTAGTTATTTTTTTTCCGACTACCACATATCATACCCGCTCTACTATTTGTATCGAGCACTGTTTCACGGACACCAAGCTTAATCCCTCTCTTTATAAATAGATATATATTTTTTGGTGCTTCTGAAATTTAGAGAAGTTTGTTTTTAACTGCATACCCATCACATCATAATCAAGCCTAAATACACAATGCCATCTAGAAATGGTATAAAATTATTTCCGCATAAGACTGGTTTCTAATAAGGTTGCGACAATTTCAATGGATCATTCTTTCACAGTAGAGTAGAGTTCATCGATAAACAACATCGCAGCCCTTAAGCTGAAATACGTCTTTGGTTTGTGCGGTCGGGATAGGGATTGGATCTCAACGGTGGCATGGTCTGAGAGGCAGAATTCGGGCGTTTAACCAGGTCTCGTAGAACCCCTCCTGTTTGGTGAAGGTCGGGTCAAGTGTGCGATTACAGCGCGTTGAAAATTCGCGCGTTTTCAATAGCTGCCCCCTTCACGAAGATCGCGTGTTTTCAATAGCTGCCCCCTTCGCGAAGATCGCGCGTTTTCAATAGCTGCCCCCTTCTTATGGAACAGTCTTCCTCTGCCAATAAGACAGGAAACATCAATCAACTCCTTCAAACGATCTGTTAAAACATACTTTTTTTAAAAAGGCTTTTAGTTAGATTATTTATTCAATTAATTTGATATTGTGATTTTTAAAAAATTCTATGTTTTACTAATTACTCTGGAAATTTTTATACTGTAAATATTGTAATTTTACCGGATTTAATAATTAATATTGTAATGCGCTTTTGAGTATTTTTATAGAAAAAGCGCAATATAAGTATTAAATATCATTATTATTATTATTATTATTAAATTTGACGATCTGCTTGAGTTGGAAGGCGTTACAAAAACGGGACTTGTCAAGCCTGTCGAAATCGCTGGCTATTTGAATCTCACAGTTTGGGAAGCGATATTCAATGACTGACATAGAGTTGTAGAAGTAGTTCAGCATGTCTGAGTCTTTTGTACCTTTGTCGGTCTGTGGATGGTAAACATTGGCGATGATAATGCAAGACAATCCCCAGGGAAGTCGCGGGGACCTGGTTTCAGCCAAATTACTTCAAACTCTTAAAAACACTTACTGGAATTACAAAGGGACCGGGATACAACATAAAAATCCTTCAAAATTTTGAGCCAGTCCGAAGTGCTCTATAAGTTTACTTATGATCTACCTTTCAAACAGATCAATGGAGAGCTATCTCTAAGTGAAAATATTGCCGACAATGGAGGAATCAGACTGGCTTACTGGGTAAATTATTCATTACTGTGGTAACAAATCGATTCTTTCATGATGAGTTTCAGACTGTTATGATGGCATCGCAAGTTATTCCAAAAGTTTAGAGAGTTGAGCCACATGACAGTCAGGCCGATCTGTTTAATAGCTTCAATTTTAAAAACCTCAAACTAAGTTATAAATCAGATCGCGTTTTGCAAAAGTGTGTAAAATCGGGACTATAGTGATCCCTATTTTGAAGTATTACCGAGCAACCTGGTCGCTCACTTGTTAGGTGAAAATAAGTCACTCTTCTTTTTTCCCGTCTCTTGTGGATGTGTTTGGACAATTAAAAGCTAAATCCTTGGCTCGAGGAAACAAGAGAAAAACAGCAAAAGCTGTCTGTGAGGTGCGTCTTTTTGTTTTCCTTGGAAATCTCCAAACGTGATCGAGATTAAACTTAGTTTACGCATACTTTTACAAAGCGAGGAATCGGGGACGAAGATGATTCGCAAACTTTTTCACTGTTTGAAAATTCTGGCCAGTGAAGAATGAAAATGATCGATAGTTTTTGTTTCTCGCAAACAGGGATACAAGGACTGGGTCAAGAAAAATGGTGCTGAGCTTCAGTTGCCCGGCCTCATTATGACAAATGACCAGCTTTTGTTCGTTAGCTTCGCTCAGGTAAGATCTGGATTGGAACATTTGAACTGCTCAATTCTGACGCCCTTCGCGGTATTAGACTACAGGAGCTCCCTCTTTTCCGGCAAAGTTCGTGACGGAGTCAACAAAAATAGCGAAACAAAAAATTGACTTAAGTGCTTTACTTTTACAATAACCTCCATCAGCAATGTGAAAGAATGTGAAAATCATCATTAAATAAATTGTTACTGGGAAGCACTTCAAAAAACCTAGCTGGAGAGGCCTACGGCTTCCCTCCCTCTCTCCTCAAATCGGTGAGATCGGAATGAGTCCATAATCTACATTTCTACTGCTTGAGATAGCAACAAGCTCGTCAATTTTCAACCTATAAGATCATGAGGAGGTAAAATTTTGGTGTACATTACAATAACATGGGAAATCTTTCATTCTTGACAGATGTGGTGCAGTGCATTTACTCCAGCAGCGGCCTATGTTATGGCATCAACAGACACTCATGCTCTGGCCAATTACAGGTACATGCACACGAAGGGAAACAGAAAGACTTTTTTTACGCAACAAGAGAAAAATAATAACTTAAATCAGTGTTGAGATGCTTTTCCCTTCACGTATGTGACTCCATGTAAAATACGCTGTGTAGGGGAACTCGATTTAGCGACTCGCTTATGACTAAATTACTTTCTGGTCTGCCCGTCGCTCAAAGTGGTTACAGCAACCGCAAAGCTTTGACTAATTAGAAGATTCTCTGACACTGTTTATTTGTTTATTTGTTCGTTCTGTTTCTAGGGTTATTGGTTCGCTTTCAAATATGAAAGAGTTCTCTGATGTCTTCAAGTGCCCCTCTGGTAGCAGGATGAATCCTGAGAAAAAATGTAAAATATGGTAAAACACTGAAAGGGATCTTTTCAAACTTATATCTTAACTCGTTTGAAATGTCCAAAGACGTATCAAATATGGATTGCGTTTCTTTCGCAGAGGAGAGAATTGTCAAGGACTAAACACTTTGAAACAGTTTTTTAAACATGTTAAGTCTCTCCCATTTTTTCCGGTATTTTATTCGACATTTTAATCTTGCCAGTGTTGTAGAAAAATATATCAGTGGTAAATAAGAACATATACTCTATGTTAAGTTTTTTTACCATTGTGATGTGAACATTTTGGTATACTTTCTCGTTTGCTTCGCCATGCTGTAGTTTAGAGAATTAGCTGTTAGGTCGATTTTACGTCCTTTAGCTCACAATTTTCTCAATACCTGTCATTTATACACGATCGACAAGGACAAAATTTGCAGAAATATAATTATGTCTCAAATGACATTTTCGGTTATAATCGTCTCTTTGTATTTCTACATTCAAGTAGCGAAGCTACGGGCTCATATCCGCAGAGCTATGAGTAATTTGCAAGTAGTAGCTCTGATTCATCGCTAGTAAACATACTTAATGAAATATAGGCTAGTTCAAGTAGTAAATACGTACTCAATAATTAGAAGTACTAAGTATTATATAAGTTTTACTTTAAAGCGGACCTATCAAAGCTTTTTTCGTATAGCTTTTTTTTGACATTTCTGCGAAATTATCGTTCGCCGGCGAACGATTTGTAGAGGGATTAAAGAACGAGATCATAATTTTTTGATGTATGGAAGAGTGAATGGTACCAATACAGCAGGCTACAGTATTGCTACAGCATGTGGCTTGTAACCTGCTGCGCTCTATAAAACTGAATATAAATATTATCATTTTCACGGTGCTTCATCATTAAATGAATGTTATATTTGGAGCAGCGCCTACGTTGTTCTGAGGCTGTCAGCTTTCGTAAAATCGCTGGGCTAGGGAATAGAAAAGGGGGGGACTGGGAAATAGGGCGTAGCACTTCAACCCCATCCCAGCGGTACTTTCCTTTCGGTACCGGCGTTCATCGTCCATAAAAGCTACCACCACATCGAGACCCTGAACGCTATCGAAATTGCTTTCACCACGATTATTAATCATAACCTTTTAAGCCGTGTCTATCTTCCGCCACTTATGAAATTCGATCTAAATCCAGTCGTAAGCAATAGAACGAGTTTTAGGACGATTTTACCTCTTTTCCTAACGGTGCACCGATACTTGCAGTCCGTTAAGTGCGCCTGTCTCTATCTGCTCAAATGGTTTCCTTCCAGATTACTTTTTACGATAAAGAAACGGAAAAGAACAACTTTTATAACTCGCCACGGTAAAATAATATCTCGTTACTTATATATTTTCCAGATGTTCCTATCTTGCGACGCTGAATCTTTCAATAACCGCTAGCTTTGTTTCCTTGATCCCCTACCACAAAACAACAAGTGATATAAAGACTCAGCCAAGTTAAAACTCCGTAGACAACTTTTCATTTTCACAGACGCCTGAGGGGATGCGCGGGCAACCGATTTTCTCGTCAATGATCTGCTATAAAAAACACAGGGGGCCCACACAAGCGGCGTGTCTGGTCGTTTGTTCGAAATATAAAGAAATGTATGGGAGAGTATTGAAGAGTCGTAATATCGTAAACTTATATCGAGGAATGTCTATGTTAAGGCTCAAAATAAATGTAAACCTACCTCACTTGCCGTGTATTGTCGTTTCTGTGGTTCTAAATGGCGAATTTGAGCGATTTGGTAGATTTTGCGTTGACTGTTACTCTTCTGTATAAGGAGACAAGCGCTGGAAAGCTCATTTTCGACCGCTCCGCTTTCGAAGCCGACTTTCACCCAGAAATTAGAATCGCCCGGCCTCCAAATCGAACACCAGATAAACCAAAAGGTTGACGCTTCTTCTCGTGTCATTCAATCGAAAATTCATTCAAAATCCAAGCGCTAACCGCCAAAAAACTTTCGAGAAATGCAGCTTTCCAAGCGATCGGCATCCGCGGCACAGATTTGGTGTGCCAGGGAGCAACCGTCAGCTGTTTGCTCCACGCTGATTGGATGATGGTAAACAATGCCCTGTTTCAAATGCCTCATGTGAGAGGGGAGTCAGGGGCATATTCGCGCCGGCGATTCATCTACTGACTAGCCTGGTGTGAGGTTTATGGCGCGTGACGAAAACCCTACACGACCTCAAACCTCTTTGTTCGCGTAACCCAATGAGCTTTGAGTTGACAAAACTGCGAAAACCCCTGTGTTCCCGCCAGCGAAATCTTGTCTTGGTTTGTATCGTTGCAAGAAATGCGTTCATTTTTTGGATGAATAATTGGAAAGAACAATCGCAGTTGAAAACATGGCAGGGTAAACAGAAATTATTCGTTCTATCGTTACATTTCAATATCATTTAGTCTTGGAGAAAGTTTATTTACCCTGTGATGTTTTGTAACCTCAAATTGTCATTTTCTTAACGCAGAAAATATCGCCAATAGCGCTTTATACTATTACTAAAAATAGATTTTGTTTCGTGATAACCAATGAGACCCCCCGCACAGACTCAGACAAACATTGCGACCAGCTTAAGGAAATGTATGAGCGAGAGCTGTAAAATTAAAACAAAACGACGAAAAATTTCGTCAAAAAATTACTTGGCGTTCTAAAAGGAAGCGGCATGGTTGGTACCAAACACTGTTGTTGGGGTGAGTGTAAGACAGACTCAAGACATGCAGATAAATGGCCAAAATCACTCAAAGAGTGAAAGGAATCGGGGATGAAAGTATTCATTCCTTTCCCAAAACCTTCGCGAGACATGGCAAAGTGCAAGCGTTGGCTAGTGGCATGTTCCCGTGATTTTTTTACGGAGAAAAACATAACAAGAAACACTTAAGTTATATTTGTGCTCTTCACTGGCCCGGCGAAAAAGGTCCAACAGCCGAATTTCCCGATCCACTGAAGGCAAATCTAAGACCAGCGCAAGTAAGTTGAGCACATGCTCCTAAGAGGAAAGCACCGAAAGAAAGAGAAAATCCAGCGTCAAAGAAACAGAAATGATTCAATGACAACTGCATAAACATTAACTACATGAACTGGCATTTAATAGAAACACAACCAGTATTGAGCGAAATATACAAAAATCCGCCGCTCGTATCTTACAAAAGAGGGCGATCGCTCAAAGACATACTCGTGAGGGCCAAACTTTGAATAGGCTATTCTAAACGCGCGCTGGGGAGTCGTGTAGGCCTGTCAACCCCCTTTTTACATTGTTTACATCAGAATTTTCTTGAAGAACTTTGGCAGCAAACCATTTTCCGTGATCGATTGCCGGATCAAGGGTGTGATAATTCCCGCATCTCACACAGTCTGTACAAGATCTTCTCGTTTACTGTTAAATTTTAAGCCCCTACATTTTAACCACCGTTTTAGCTGGTCTACAGTGTATTCTTCTGGTTCTCTTTCAAATTTAGAGCCAGGAACGCCGTCTTCTTCGGTCAGAACTGTAAGGGAATAAGCGAACTACCCGCCATTTCCCTTGTAGCTCTCAAAGAAGTGGAGTTTGTTTGTCTGAGTCACGCGGGGGGTCTAAAATTTCATGACGTCATTAGTATAAAGCGCTATTCAACCCTTCCGTCTCTTTACCGTTCAGCTCAATCCGTTATTCGAAAATAATCACAAGTATCCTCTCGGAGCTCATTGGGTTACGCGAACAAAGAGGTTTGAGGTCGTGTAGGGTTTCCGTCACGCGCCAAAAACCTCACACCAGGCTAGTCAGTAGATGAATCGCCGGCGCGAATATGCCCCTGACTCCCCTCTCACATGAGGCATTTGAAACAGGGCATTATTTACCACCATCCAATCAGCGTGGAGCAAACAGCGTGACGGTTGCTCCCTGGCACACTAAATCTGTGCCGCGGATGCCGATCGCTTGGAAAGCTGCATTTTTCGAAAGTTTTTTGGCGGTTAGCGCTTGGATTTTGAATAGATCTTCGATTGAATGACACGACAAGAAGCGTCAACCTTTTGGTTTATCTGGTGTTCGATTTGGAGGCCGGGCGATTCTAATTTCTGGGTGAAAGTCGGCTTCGAAAGCGAAACGGTCGAAAATGAGCTTTCCACCCTTGTCTCCTTCTTATACAGAAGAGTAACAGTCAACGCAACATCTACCAAATCGCTCAAATTCGCCATTTAGAACCACAGAAACGACAATACACGGCAAGTGAGGTAGGTTTACATTTATTTTGAGCCTTAACATAGACATTCCTCGACATAAGTTTACGATATTACGACTCTTCAATATTCTCCTATACATTTCTTTATATTTCGAACAAACGACCAGACACGCCGCTTTGTGTGGGCCCCCAGTGTTAAAACTTTAGCAAAGGCAGAGACAGAAAGAAAGTTAGACTTCAAGAGGATGTGGTTGACTCTTATGTTAAGAAACTACACAGGAGAAAACATGACTAAGGTTATGTTTCATATTTAACTGCGACTAAGAAAGTCCAGTATTTACCACTCATGGTAAATTTCTCACCAAACAATGAACCTAGTGAAAACAAGCCCCCATTTTTGCTCAATACAAAAAAAAAGTCTGCTTTTGAACTACCAAACTTCCTTCCACTTCCTCTTTCGTCTACGTAAATAAAGATCAGTTGTTAAGTTGCTGCAAATAAACTCACCAACATCCTGTGGGAAATTTTTAAGAGGTGAGTGGCAGTGAAACATCAACTAACTGCAGCTCGGCTTTTATTGGACTGGCTAAATCTGCATTGTTATCTATTTTATTGCTTGGCAGAATTATTTATGAAGTTTTTTTTAATACAATCCACAAAAAAAAAATTATTGGTCATCAACCGAAGTTGAAGTTCGTAATCAGGCCTCCACCATCGTCAAAGCGTACGAATGTTGTTTATGCGCACTTTTTCCAAATAACTAAATTCATATGGCATGGCCTGCCAAGTTTTTTCCGGTTTTATTTCAGGGCAAAATATTGCCGTGGACACCTCCAAAGACTTCATTTTCAGAGTTTCTGCATATAGTTGACAGCCTTTATCAAATAGATATTGATCCGGTGCCACAATTAGCAAAAGGTGTTCTTCAGTGTGTTTTAAAATTGTTTTTGATTGAAGGGGGTAATTAGCGTCATTAAAGAATTAGAAAATTACATGTACGCCTGTGGATAAGGATGTCAATATTTTATTGTGATGATGATTTCTCAAGAGTCTTTCGTGTTTCACATATCGAACGTTACTGAGTTTGGTCGTGACAGGCACTTCCCATCTCATCCACGGAATTAGGATATTTGCTTGGAATATTGCTTTTGAATCAACTTTGTTAAGGAGTCATAACAAAAAACACGCAATTTGTCAACTGCGATAAAATTAAAATGTCTAATCTTTGGTGCCAAAAGTTGTAAAAGTGATACAAATGTAAATAGAGGAATGTAACAGCGCAAGATGGATTTCGCCCCCCGATGCTCTACAGCAAGCTACGCAATTTGAGGTTCGCATCACTTACGTCTTGCATACCAATACCGTCAACAATGTCGAAAGTGATAAATAGATTAAGAGGATCTTAAATTCTGTGAATGGTCATTGACTACGGAAAAGTATCTTTCGTTTTGTCACGTTTTGCAATTTTTTGTCATTTGACAAAACAAGTGACATATTTTCTTAATTTAGATATAAATATGGCTCAGGTGTCTTCATTATCTTCCAAGGTAATGATGATTTCTCTGAGACAGATATCAGATTTCTGGACACCAAGAAAAGAAATAGCACACTTAAGTTTCATTCGTGCCCAGAAAAGATAATCTCTCATCAGAATGAAGGGGTGTACAAGCATTTTGACCCTAAGCATTTTGACACTCAGGATTTGACACTTAGGATTTTGGAGCCGAAGCAGGCATGATTAATTTTGTGGGTATTTAGTGCGTGGTTTGAAAGGAATTTTTGTTGCCTTCACATGGTAAAACAATTATAACTCAAGGAAGTAATCTATTTCCCTTACCCAAAAAAAAATGTTTCTGTGGTTTCCGGAATTGCTTTGAGAGTCTAGTCAGTCTTACCCGGCCATTACAAATTCATTATATCAAAAAATAAACTCTGCCAAAACAGGAAATCATGCAAGACAATAAAGTAAAAGCGGAAATCAGGGAGGGAATAAAACAGACCATGAAACAAGTCATCCAAAGAGGACTTTCTATAAACAAAACTTTACCTTATTACTGAAAGAAATTTTTTCGGTTTTTGTTTCGCGATAACGCTGCTAACTCTTTGGTTTCTGTGTGTGGGTGTGTTATCTGCCATCCTCCCGGGTTTGCCATAGGGTCAAGGAGAATTCATTACTGCTCTTATGCTCAGGTGAAAAGGAGACGAAAGGGAAGTTACGTACTGTCAATTACTTATTCCTCATTTATCTCCACGACTTTGCCGTTCGTGCGGAGGGGTAGAACACGCTGAAAGCCTAACGGAAACCTCTCAGATGGTAGTATTATCCATGAATGCTGGCAGCGTAAAGCGCTTAACAAAGGCATGTAGCATGACGTATTTAAAGTACTTGAGCCGGATTAAAATGGGGTGCTGTTTTAAGTCAGACTTGAATTAGAATACATTTGACGGTCTTTTGAATTTCTTACAAAGAGCGAAGTATAGAATGTTGCGAAAACTATAGTATTAACTTCTGTTTACTTGAAAGTACTCGAAAGCGTAAGTGTTGGTTAAAATTATCAAGTAAACAACTTTTGGCCGCAAACGGGGGAAAACGTTTGGCTAAATTGAAGCAACGTGACTTCCAGACATATCAACCTTTAATGAATTTGATAGGTCCTTGATTTGAAAGTGTTTCGTAAGAAAAGCCGATAGTCATTCAAGTGTACAAGAAAGATTATGAAACTTGTTCGCGATGACAAGTTAGAGTTTGTACAGATGCTATTAATTGAAAGTTAATTTTTTAGTTATTCAGTGTCATATCCTTTCTTAGTTAGAATGACTTCTTAAACTGAAACCTTGGGGCAGTTTAAGACTTTTCCAATCGATCTGATAATTAATGATATTCAAAGATATTGCACTTGCGTGGAAAAACCAGTCAGGCGAAGAGCAGCGGAAATTAAGACTATTTAAAGATAATCTCTAGACATTTACATCTTCAAAACGTTTTAGAGTTGCAATGGGCTCCTATCGGATGAAAAACGAAGGAAGCGTGAATTTGGGTTTTGGCAGCAGTACCCAGACTTTAGGAATGGAGTCTGTACAGAGCAGCACAATTACTTTCTCTAAAGGGAGAAGAAAGCGGTTTCGCTTCAGGCTGTTGGCAATCGTGTGTGCATTCCTATTACTTGCTTGTCTTGCTCTTGCTTCGTATGTGATCTTGCTCTCGTTTAGAAAAGAAAAAGATGCGACCAAAAATGAGGTGAAATATTGTACTTCGTCCACATGCTTAGAAGTTGCAGCCGCTGTGAAGAAGAGCCTGAACGATTCCGTGGATCCGTGTGAAGACTTCTACCAATACTCCTGTGGCAGTTGGATCAAGAACAACCCAATTCCACCATCAGAAACAATAACTGCTACTTTTACAGAAGGAGCAAAGAAGAACGATGAATTATTGTTGCTGCTTTTGTTAGAAGATGACGAGCTTCCAAACGAACATGCCGTGAAGAAAGCGAAGAACTATTTCAAATCCTGCATGAGTGATTATGACGATAATAACACCGCCACAGTTGTTGAGTTAAAAAGCCTTATTCGTCGATTCGGATCCTGGCCACTGGATATGGCCACTTGGAATGTCTCAACATGGAGTCTCACTCACGCTTTATTGGAAATCCATCGTGATTTTTCTGCTATGACACCTCTGTTTGCGATGACTATAGATGTGAACCCTTTTAATTCCTCTGAGTATATTCTAAAGGTATGACATAAAATGTAGTTTTATTCATGTTATGATATTACTAATCACTTTATGATCATATTTGTTCTCTTGGCGGTAAAGTATACTCAGTTAAAACTCAGTGTCAACAACTTCTCACAATATTTTTGAAGTTCCAGCCGGTATCATGATGAATAATTCTCTACCACAGGTGATCCAATCTCCGCTAGATTACTTCTGTTGTTATTTGTAACACGCCGAACTCTACAATTTAGAAGTTTGTTCTCTTCATGAACAACTATCCACAGATTTTTTTTCTCCGTCGAGATTAAGAATTCCGGGTTCTGTCCTCGTGTACCGGTTCACAAGAGCCGTTACAAAAGACCGAACAATACACAACAGCTAACCAATGACTCCTAAATAAAGAAAGAACAATGGTAATTCCCTTGTGAACCGGTAGACCAGGACAGAACCGAATTCCGTTCCACCTCATTTAATGAAATATCTGTTATAAATTATTTCTGTTTTTGTTTGTACTACGCCAAGCTCTTAACAATTAAGAAGCTTGTCCAACAAGAAAAGGATTGACGACCGAAAAAGATGAAGAAGTTTTTGGTGACTGAACATAAATTTAAAACAAGATCAGTTACGGCATCAAAAGATCTCAGTCTAAACTAACAACTGTATAACTTAACTTTGTGTAGCATATTTGCACTTGTGCAAGCGCAATCCTGAAGCGCATGCACGAGAAAACATGTTTTACCAGGTTGGACAATGAGTCGACAAAATAACTGCTTATCCGCGTTTGACTATAACCGCCTAGTCATGCGTTAAGATTTTTATCAAACACAACATCACATCGTCACGAAAGTTTCAATAACATCAGACAAGGTAATAAAACGAGAACACGAATCAGCAGGTGTACTTTTTTTTTTTTAATATGGGTCAGTCCAAATTCGAATTAACTTCATTTGGTGTCTGTCTCAACCAAGCCTTTTTGATTCCTTACTCTCTCTTTCGTCCTAGTTTGATCCTCCATCTTTGAGTCTCCTTCGCGAGCAGTACTTAACAGGGGATAACAAGGTATCAAGATCACTACTTTTTACTTTCAGAAACTTAAAACATAATTTCCTAAATGTTTGCTCAGTGGATTCTGTTCTTAATCAACTGGTACACTCTTCAAACTTGGTCCTTGTACGAGAGATACCGAAGTTCTCCTTGAGTGTTATAAACGCAGACGAGTAAATCAAGTGAGGTCAGGTATGCTCGGAAAACTAAATTATCGTAGCATACCTGGTCTCACTTGATTTACATGTCCGACTTTATGAACATCGTGGTCAAGAAAACAAGAGAATTTTACAATCAGTATGGTAAGCTAAGATTTTGACCTTCCCTCTCTTTCTTCAGACCTTTTGAAAAAATACTCCCAAAGCCACGCAAGCCGCCAATCTTAGGAAAAAATTCCACCCTCACGCTTTGAAGTCACCGACATTCAAGAACGTTCTAGTTTAAGATCAAAATGTTGTGGCTTATTTCTCGTTTATTAATTGATTGTAGGTATATTTAGCGCACTTTTAATACCATTACAGGACATTTCTCAGACGTTCCCCATGTGAGCTAATCAGGATGTTGTGCTATAGATTAAAAATCACAATTCATGTTTTTTTATTTATTTTTTGGGGGCTTATTTTAGACACGGGTGGCATACTTGAATTACATGACCAAGGTAGGGATGTTGCTTGGCGGTCCTGAAAATAATGAAACAAAGCAAAGAATGGAGAAGGTTTTGGAGTTGGAAGGAAAGCTTGCACAGGTAAGGTTATCTCCTTAAAGAATAAACGGAATTGAAACATGCATCATAACATACTGCTGTTTTTGTGCTGATATTACAGATTATACCTCCGGCAAGCGAACTGGGGAAAAATTTCCTGCGCAACATGAACGTGACGGAATTGGAGAATTCGGCACCCGGTTTCGGGGTAGGAGATTTCTATGTTTCTTCTGTGCATGAAAGAGATCTTGCGTATATGTGCACAATCCTTCGCAGTAAAGCACTATTTAAGTAATAGTGAAAATCAGACCTGAAAAAAATTCAGGCCTGTACGGGATTCGAACCACTGACCTCTGCGATACTAGTGCAGCACTCTACCAATTGAGCTAACAGGCCAACTGGGAGCAGGCCATCAAATTAATTCGACATAAACCCGTAGATGATAAATCAAACAACAAACATATGAAATACATATATATGAACTGCGGTTATGAAACGTATATGTGCACGATCCTTCGCAGTAAAGCACTATTTAAGCAATAGTGAAAATCAGACCTGAAAAAAATTCAGGCCTGTACGGGATTCGAACCACTGACCTCTGCGATACTAGTGCAGCACTCTACCAATTGAGCTAACAGGCCAACTGGGAGCAGGCCATCAAATTAATTCGACATAAACCCGTAGATGATAAATCAAACAACAAACATATGAAATACATATATATGAACTGCGGTTATGAAACGTATATGTGCACGATCCTTCGCAGTAAAGCACTATTTAAGCAATAGTGAAAATCAGACCTGAAAAAAATTCAGGCCTGTACGGGATTCGAACCACTGACCTCTGCGATACTAGTGCAGCGCTCTACCAATTGAGCTAACAAGCCAACTGGGAGCAGGCCATCAAATTAATTCGACATAAACCCGTAGATGATAAATCAAACAACAAACATATGAAATACATATATATGAACTGCGGTTATGAAACGTATATGTGCACGATCCTTCGCAGTAAAGCACTATTTAAGCAATAGTGAAAATCAGACCTGAAAAAAATTCAGGCCTGTACGGGATTCGAACCACTGACCTCTGCGATACTAGTGCAGCGCTCTACCAATTGAGCTAACAAGCCAACTGGGAGCAGGCCATCAAATTAATTCGACATAAACCCGTAGATGATAAATCAAACAACAAACATATGAAATACATATATATGAACTGCGGTTATGAAACGTATATGTGCACGATCCTTCGCAGTAAAGCACTATTTAAGCAATAGTGAAAATCAGACCTGAAAAAAATTCAGGCCTGTACGGGATTCGAACCACTGACCTCTGCGATACTAGTGCAGCGCTCTACCAATTGAGCTAACAAGCCAACTGGGAGCAGGCCATCAAATTAATTCGACATAAACCCGTAGATGATAAATCAAACAACAAACATATGAAATACATATATATGAACTGCGGTTATGAAACGTATATGTGCACGATCCTTCGCAGTAAAGCACTATTTAAGCAATAGTGAAAATCAGACCTGAAAAAAATTCAGGCCTGTACGGGATTCGAACCACTGACCTCTGCGATACTAGTGCAGCGCTCTACCAATTGAGCTAACAAGCCAACTGGGAGCAGGCCATCAAATTAATTCGACATAAACCCGTAGATGATAAATCAAACAACAAACATATGAAATACATATATATGAACTGCGGTTATGAAACGTATATGTGCACGATCCTTCGCAGTAAAGCACTATTTAAGCAATAGTGAAAATCAGACCTGAAAAAAATTCAGGCCTGTACGGGATTCGAACCACTGACCTCTGCGATACTAGTGCAGCGCTCTACCAATTGAGCTAACAAGCCAACTGGGAGCAGGCCATCAAATTAATTCGACATAAACCCGTAGATGATAAATCAAACAACAAACATATGAAATACATATATATGAACTGCGGTTATGAAACGTATATGTGCACGATCCATCTAGTATTTTGTGTTCTAAATATTTTCCTAGTTTATACTACGAGAAGGAAATACATGAGTGAGGGGCATAATGCTTCACAAAGTGATAAATATCACTTCGGTCTCATCACATGACGAACCCTCGTAGTTTCCAGTCGAAGAGTCTCGTTCCACATCTGAAGGAACGTCATCATGAGACAAGCGATAACGCTTCATTACTAGTGTAGTCACCACGATGATATCCCACAGTCTCTTCTCACAAAGTGTTGATTCGATTGAACGTAGTATCATATCGGATCCTCCCCATAAAATTGGAATGTGCCGCATTCTAATTCGAATTTGATAGGCCACAGAAAGAATCCTGCTTGAAAAACCTATTGTCCCTCCCAAGTTCACTGAGTTGGTGTGCAACTGGGAAATATCTGGACATATTTGAATGAAATTAAATAACGGATTGTGGTTCCCTTTTAGTTCACCTGGTTGGGATTTATCAACGATCTGTTAAAGCCGTTCAACGTGTGGCTGAACGCTTCAGACATAGTCATGGTCCCTTCGCCAGAGTATCTTCGGAATCTCTCCGACGTTGTCAACAATACTAGCAAAGAGTAAGGAAAACAGATACATTTTTCTATAGGCTTGACTTTTAGTTACTTAATGGAATGAATTCGAAGGAAGAACAAAGCACGGATAAGCATGGTGAATTAAACCTTTCAGCAAGTCAGTCAGTCATTCAGTCAGTCAGTCATTCAGTCTCAACTGTTGAGGAGCAAAGTCCAAAACCTCTGTTCCTCTTTTCCTAAGTCTTAATGCTATTGGGTATTCATGGAGCCTGTTATTTGGTTAATCAGCAAATCAACCATCAATTCAGTCAGTCACAGTCAGTTAGCTGGTCAGTCAGTCAGCCAATAGTAGATCAGTCGGTCGGTAATTCAGTCAGTAAGCTTGTTGTCCTTCTGTCAGACAATCTATTAATCAGTCAGTTAATCAGACTATCAACTAGGCTATAACATTTATATAGTGAAAATAAAACCTGGCCATTAAGTTCATTCAGCCAGTCGGAAATTTGACATTTGATATCATTACACATCTTTGCTCAGGACCCTGGCGAGTTACGTGATCTGGAGATTTGTTCAATCTGTTGTTCCCTACATGTCCCGTGACTTCCGGTCTGCTTTATTGGAATATCAGAAGGAGACGGTAGGAACCAAATATGCCCCTCCTCGATGGTATTCGTGCCTTGAGGACGAGAATGGCTATTACCATGGACTGACATTCGCTTTGGGATATATATGGATTTCAAATGTGTTCGACGTTGAAATTATTCCATTTGTGAGTACAACTTGTAATGTAGTATTCCTTGTTAACAAACTAAGCAGTGATTTTGTCGACAATCGTGGTGTTTTGATTTGTCATTGTCGATAGGATATTTGTCTGCTGAAAGGAAATATTTTAAAATAAACGAATTAAGCACCCTCCTTCAAATAAGCCCCCCTCCTCCCTCCCCCTCACCCCGGAACATTCTGCTTTACTATAGTCAAAGTGACTTAAACAAGATTACGTTTCTGGAATTTCTTATGCAAAATTTTTAAAACTTAAACGCGTTTTTGCGACAGATTCAAGACATGTCAAAAAGGATAAGGAGTGCATTTAGAAATGAAATGTCCCACCTCGATTGGATTGACGACGAAACCCGACGAAAAATTAATGAAAAGGTGCAGTACTTAAAAAGTTAACAAAGTCAGAATAGAATACTTTGATAATACGTGTTGGTCACTTATTATGTCAATGACAGGCAATCTAAGGTTGTCCACGGTTCAATTGTAGGAAGATGCTATGAAATTCAACATTGGTTTTCCGAAGCTCTGTGCTAACGAAACATTGCTGAACGAGTTTTACAAAGACGTAAGTGTGCACATACCGTTCAGTATGAGGCGAATGGACGAATTTTTTTGTGTTTTTCAAAAACCTGTGATCCTTACATCCTGGTAGATCAAAATCTATAGTTCAATGCTGAAGTGCAATCTACAGAAGCCCTCGCTAAAAGTTTGGGAGCACTAGCAGAAAATCGCTTCCATAGTGGAAAGATTACAAAGGAAAACAACTTCCTTAATTCCTTGAGATTTCATCTCACGAACAAGTCACAGTTTTCTATTCCCTGCGATGATCAATGAAATTACACTGAAACTGCAAAGTTGATTAAAACTAATGTGAAGCCACTCTTGAGATCATTTCAAACTGAATTTCTCTTCAGCTGAACATCACTGAGAATAATTATCTCAAGAACGTCTTGGATGTGATGATGTGGAAAAAGAGACGGGCCTTATCAAAAATTAAGACAGTAGTGGACAAAGACCAGTAAGTAGAAAATACCTGATACTTAACTACGAGGGTGCACATTCTTGACTACACTATTATATTTTGCGATCCGATGCTCTTCTCGCCGGTGTATTTGTGTCTCTACAAATCCTCTAGTTTACTGATGTGTGCCCAATCTTAGTCATTTTGTATCGAGTAGTCTCCGCAGTTAAAATTTTGATTCAAGATCGGTTTAGTCACTATACATTTCATAATGTAACTGAGATGACTGCCGGCAGTAGAAAGTTTGAAATGTTTCCTTTTCCGATCTGCTTTTTTTCGGAAAGCTAGCAAATATTTAAAGAATTAGGTATTGCTCGATCTACAAGATCGTGCCAGGAGCCCATTTATGTCTCCTGATCGTACGCAATTGTTTTACTTCAGTTTTCGTTTAAGGGTACGTAAGCGAAAGGATGCAGTTTAGGTTTTTCATTAGCGTCGCTGTCCAAAGCTCAATTGCAATAACTCCATGATGGTTCATTACCGTCACTGCGTTCGAGAATGTGGACGTCTCGGATGGATGCTGTGGTCCTTGGGTTCAGTATGTTGTCTGATTGCAGATTTGCTCGAGTTCAACGCTTTCTCCTTCCGGAGTCTAATAGCTAGCTGAATGTGTTCCACGCAGTGAGATTCGACTGTGCCCGAGGATGGATTAGCAGTGATAATTAAATAGTAACGGTCAAAACATTTTTTCCGCTTTTCTTTCATCTCAGATGGTTCACTGGACCTCAGAAAGTTAACGCATTTTACCTACGAAGCAGAAACGAGATAAGTAAGGAAGAATTTCATCTTAAACAATGATAGCCCATGGCTAGTACTTGACTTTGTACCAAACCTTTATTCTTTTCCTTTTTATTGAATTGCACAGTATTTTTTCTAATCTACATTTGTGTGTTAAACGCGTTTTAAGGGGTAAGAAACTTCTTGTATCAGTCCTATCTCTTTTGAAAAGACTCCATATTTAAATCTCGAAAGGTTCCCTTTATATCCGTTGTAGGTTTGTTGAAGAAACGACATCGGCAAACAGAAAAAAATGAACTTTTCCCCTACTCACTTTTCCTATCATCCTTACATAAACATTACAAAAAATAGAAAAGATCTTTAAGTGTTCACTACTAATACAAATAATCTCTTTTCATTGAAGAAACAGCACCAAGTTTTCTTTTTAACTTTTACTGTTAAACATAACCATCAAACCTCACGTCCCTCATATTTCTCCTCTTGTTACGAACTTCAAAATTTTTGAAAAGGAAGTTCTCAAATCTGAACATGATCTGCAGCTCGAAGGTCTTCATGTAAGTCTAACATGACGATAATTTATTCGGTAGGTATTCTCGCAGGAATTCTTCAGCCTCCATTTTACTACGGGCGAAAAGCTCCCAGGTATGAGCAGGATCTCTCTTTTATTTAAAAATAAAATGGATTGGCGAGAAAGAGAAATGTTGAACACTTATTTTCAAAGTAGCAGGGTGATATTTCAGTTCGGAAGCGACTAGAGAAAAAAATCACAGATGATACTGAAATCAGGCAGGTGCTAATGTTTGGAAAATGGATCTCAAACGACTTACTACTCAAGTTGTACACAAAGTTAGAAAATGCTGGATAACTAAAGCGTGCACTTTTTCCTTTCACTTTTACGTATCCAGGATAATTATTTGAAATCGTGGGAGCAATCGCAACAACAAATTCCCGTCATGGAGCTAAATTTTCGCTGCGGTGGTTCGAAGTGAATTGAGCAATGCACACGGGGCAGCTTTCCTTGAACAGGTGTTGCTGAGATTAAAAGGTTTTCCAATCTTCCCCTTTTTTCGCTGACAAGAAATATAAAATGATGGATATCTTTGTCTGTGAACTAGATTTACACAAGATGTCTTTCTTATTAAAACGCTGGTGTTGGAATTAACTTGTCAACTTTTCATCTTCAGATCCATAAACTTTGGTGCGATTGGAATGATTCTAGCACACGAGCTATCGCACGGATTCGACGCGGCTGGTTTGTAGAGCAAAAATAGCGTGATTTAAGTCTAAAAGCGGTGTTTGAATAATGGCGGATGTAATCGCACTGGAAGTTTTCGTGGGAGAAACGGCAACCTACCTTAATCCTTGATCGCGTAGTTTTTATCAACTTGATTTCGCTAATTGTGTATTGCTCTTGCTCAGTTGGAGCATTTCATCCCACTCTCTACTGTATTCAGCAATGGCACATAATATGTACCTAAATACCAATTGAATGAGTGGTAAAAAGCTTTAGTGACATTTTGATAAAGCTTACGCGCGTTACGCTTTCAGGGAGAAAATTCAACGAGAACGGAGAGGTTGTTGAAGACTGGTGGAGCAGTTCTTCGTCTCAAGGATTCAAAGAGAGATCCGAATGTATCGTGGAACAGTACAACAAGTACTCAGTCGATGTTGGAGATGGAAAAAGAGAAAACGTAAGTTACAAGGAAGAAATCGTCAATGAAGCATTGAGATTTTAGTCCTTGTATCCATGCATCCATGCATCCTTGCATCTTTACATCCTTCCATCCTTGCATCCTTGCATCTTTGCATACAAGCATTTTATGCATCCATCCATCAATCGATTTATTCACTCATCCAACTATCCATCACCAATCGATCCACTTGCCTATCCATGCATTGATCCATCAATCCATTTATCAATCATGTATCCATATGTTAAATGTCTTGGTGTAGATATCGATGAATATTTCACTTGGGATAGCCACATGCTAAGTATAAGACAGAAGGTTACCCGTAATTTCAGTGTTCTAAGAAGGGTTAAACCTTTTCTAAAAACAGAAAACCTAATTGACATTTACAGGTCAATAATTGAGCCTCACTTTACATATTTTTGCATTGTTTGGGATAGTATGAGTGAAACACAGATTGTTAATTTGCAAAAGCTCCAAAACCGTGCAGCGCGAATAATAACTGGTGCTTCCTATTTGCAAAGATCTAGTGATGTTCTTTGTAAATTAGGCTGGACGACATTAGAAACAAAGAGAAAACGTCAAAAAGCCATTTTGATGTTTAAAATACAGTATGGTCTCAATCCCCCGCACCTGTCTGAAATGTTTACCCATAGCGCTTCTTTTCATGATTATGGACTGCGATCTTCCAGAATGAATCTCGCGTTCCCTAAAAGTCGTACAGATTTTTACAGAAACAGTTTTGCATTTGCCGGCGTAAGAATCTGGAATGATTTGCCAAACAGTTTAAAGGAAGAAACTTCTCTAAAAAAAGTTTATGGGTAAGCTGGACAATTACTATCCGCACCAGCAAAACTAGTTCTAGAACATTAAGCTTTTTAATAGTAAATATATAACTCGTATTGCGTACGGAATTTATGTAAACCAAATTTTAATATTGCTGTATACTTGAATTTGATAAAATGCTATATTTCAATAAGGGGTTCCATCCATCCATCCATGTATCCATCCACCTGTCCATCATCTATCCTTTTATTTATCCATCCATTTATTCATCCCTTCATCCATCCATCCAAGCATCAATCACATCATCCATTCATGCATGTATGCATGCATACACCCATCAATCCTAACATGCATACATCCATCCATATATTAACCATCTATCCATCCGTTTTTCCTTCATTAATCAATGCATTTATCTATCTATCTATCTATCTATCTATCCATCTATCCATCATCAATTCATCTATCCGTCCATCTATCCATCATCAATCCTTCCATCGATCTATCCATCATCAATTCATCTATCCGTCCAACTATCCATCATCAATCCATCTATCCGACCATCTATCCATCATCAATCCATCTATCCGTCTATCTATCCATCATCAATCCTTCTATCCGTCCATCTATCTATCATCTATCCATCTATCCGTCTATCTGTCCATCATCAATCCATCTATCCGTCCATCTATCCGTCATCAATTCATCTATCCGTCCATCATCAATTCATCTATCCGTCCAACCATCCATCATCAATTCATCTATCCGTCCATCTATCCATCATCAATCCATCTATCCGTCCATCTATCCATCATCAATTCAACTATCGGACCATCTATTCATCTATCCGTCCATCTATCCATCATCAATCCATCTATCCGTCCATGGATTGGTGATAGATGGATCCGTCCATGGATTGATGATAGATGGATAGACGGATAGATGGATTGATGATAGATGGATGGACGGATAGATGGATTGATGATGGATAGATAGACGGATAGATGGATTGATGATGGACAGATGGACGGATAGTTGAATTGATGATGGATACATGGACGGATAGATGTCCGTCCATGTAGATAGATATCCGTCCATGTATCCATCATCAATTCATCTATCCGTCCATCTGTCCATCATCAAACTATCTATCCGACCATCTGTCCATCAGCAATCCATCTATCCGTCTATCTATCTATCATCAATCCATCTATCCGTCTATCTATCCATCATCAATCCATCTATCCGTCTATCTATCCATCATCAATCCATCTATCCGTCCATCTATCTATCATCAATCCATCTATCCGTCCATCTATCCATCATCAATCCATCTATCCGTCCATCCATCTATCATCAATCCATCTATCCGTCCATCTATCCATCATCAATCCATCTATCCGTCCATCCATCTATCATCAATCCATCTATCCGTCCATGCATCTATCATCAATCCATCTACCCGTCCATCCATCTATTATCAATCCATCTATCCGTCCATCTATCCATCATCAATTTCTCTATCTGTCCACCTATCCATCATCAATTTCTGTATCAGTCAATTTATCCATCCATCTATCCACCATCAGTTCATCTATCCATCCATCCATCTATCCATCATCAATCCTTCCATCCATCTATCTATCTATACATTCATCAATCCCCAATTTGACAAATAAAACGCGAAAAGCAGGCGTGAGGGAAATCAACGGAGACCATCTTTCATTATTCAAGATTGTTTTGGAAGCTTTTATCTTTTTATTTAAATTGTTGCAGTTGAATGGTGAATTGACTTTGAGCGAAAACATTGCAGACAACGGTGGCATTCGTATGGCCTACTCGGTAAGTCTAACTGTGACGCATCACATCACATTTAACTTCTGTAAGATCTAGCTACATGACTAGCTCACTCGCTCTTTTGTTGTACGAGTACAAACAGTAATTGGTGGTGTCAGAAGATGCTGGGGGTGCAGGATGGTGGGGTGTAGGAAGGAAGAGGTCACTTAGATTAAAAATGAAGACTGGCGCACTGAGAGACCAACCGTATCAAACCATTTTTTTTTAATAATTGCATTCGTATAATGTAATTTTGCAGTTCCACTTTTTTTTGTTTACAGTCTGTATGGTAGTTATCATTCAGTACACCTTAACTTGTTAATGAATCTCACACACAGGGGTATAAGGACTGGCTTAAGAACAATGCTCCCGAACCTCAGCTGCCTGGCCTGCAGATGACTCACGAGCAGCTCTTGTTCTTGAGCTTTAGTCAGGTGAGGAGTGGGTGGGGGAGAGGGGGGCAGACTTGTAGTTAAGTCAGGTGAGGATTGGGGTGGGTAGGGAAAACTTGAATTTCCATTCTTAATTGAGATAATTGTTTTAATCTCACCTTCCTCCTCCTAACAAAAGAGATTAAAACAGAGTTTTAGGTAAAACAAGGAATTCGCGTGCGTTTCTATTACGGAAAAATCTGTTTTTGGGGTAGGGGAGCACATAAGATGAAGCACAAGAGTTAACCCTTGAATTCCCATCACCATAAGCGATCAAGACAGAATTTCTCCTTACAATATTAGCAAAATATCAAGCAGAAAAGTGATGAGAATAAAGAAAAATATCAACTAGGGCATTACAGTGTATTAGTTTATCCAATACTAAATTCTCTAAAGTAACATTTTAAGAATTGTATATGGCAGATAGTAAGGAGAACTACTAATAAGATCTTTGAAGGGAAAGGGTTATCAAACTGAATTCTAGTTAAAGCTTTGCAGTTATTCACAATGGATTTCACTCTGTTTAGTCATTTTGCGCTGCTATGACTCCATCAGCTGCCTTCCGCTTTACAAAGACAAGGGTGCACTCAATACCAAGCTACAGGTAAGACCCAAAAGAAGTTCTGTGTTTTCTTAATGAAAGTTTGGACCTGTCCCCTTCCGCCTCCATCAAACTTCCTGGATCCACCTCTCATGAATCTAAGATCATAAGCCCTGATAATTTTAAGGACGTAAAAGCTGATGCCCACTTTTCACTCTTTTAAATGACGTCGTTAGAAAAACAAAAGAAAAGAACATTCAAACCATGGTTAGGGTTGAACCACGATATGTTCTCAAAATTTAATTCAACCTGCTTTGCTTTCAGTTACATCCACACTGGGTTTCATGTGGTTTGTTGTGGTCAGGTTTTTTAGACGGTTTGTTGCCTCTGTGTGGATTGTTCTTCTCTAGTTTTCTAGTTCCAGTCTAATTCACTCTGGGGCCCTCACTAGTATATTCTTCTTCTCAGTTTTTTGTTCGCTTTTTCATATTTTCGTTGCCGTTTTCTTCAGGATTATAGGCTCGTTGTCAAATATGGAGGAATTTTCTGAAGCATTTAAGTGTCCCACTGGTCGAAGAATGAATCCCGAGAAGAAATGTAAACTATGGTGAATCACAGACATAACGCATCTGTATTTAACACGTTCTAGCAGCTGTTGGAGATACTTATTCTGGTTTTTACCTCTCTCAATTCTTAACACAGATACGGCTGAATATTATTAACCGTCGTCGTATCTCCACACCAAATATATCCTTAAATATCTTCTACAATGAAAAGAGATTCCAGTTAAGGGAAAATTCTACTCGCGGCGTATGCAATTAATATCAAAATACGTCAGCACTTTGATCACTTCTACCAATTGCAAAACAAAGACGTTAACTAGGAAAGATACCATATATTTTTTTTTCTTAGAAAAAAGTTAGTGTTACAACAATTCTGACCGTATATCTCTGAGACAATTTTAACGTATCCTGATTCATATACACGTTTTAGATGTAATTTAGTTCTTAAGTGAAGATTTAAATGACATATTATAACATGAAAAACGTACCTCGTGCTCAAACTTAGAATTGTATTTTTTGACGTGTAAGACTAGTTTGAAGAAAATGTCAGCCCATTTTAGTCATCCATGCAAAAGCCACCAAAAATAGCAGGACAGAGGATGGATTTTTGTGTTTCTCTGGGTCCAGCGCATCACTGCTCCAAAACCGAAAGGGATGGGGAATAATATTCTCCTTAAAAATTGCAGTGAATTTCGCATGTTAATTCATTTGCCATGCGATAGTTGCATGATAAAAATGAGATGTAAATATTGAAAATGCTGTTAAATCAAATTGCGAAACAATAAAAAATTGAGACCCTAAGATTCAAGATAAAAGCATTTGTTTTATTTACAGGCAATAAAGCGTCAAATTTTGAAGATAGTCCGTGGCACAACAAGCAAATGAAAAGTTGGTATTATATCTCTTCGCCGTAATACCGGATCTCGAACAAATAAGTATTTTAAAATCAGAAAATACTGCTTGGAAAAATAAATTAAAGTTTCCACTAACAACAGGAGCGTTTAATTAGAAAATACGGCTCATGAAGCCCGGCAAGTGTACTTTTGATTTGCGTCAAAATTTGGTAGCTAATGTTGGCCAATTAATTCACACTTTATTCCCAGCATTTTAATCTACGCGTGTTCAGCAGCGTTCGAGGCGACCTCAAACTGTATCCTAACTATCTCCGCAACGGCACATCAAAGTTCTGTTTCTGCCAACAAAGTTTATCTAGATACGGTGAATATATGAAGTTCATATATTTTGAACTGCGGTTATAGATACGAATGATGCACGATCCTCGCAGTAGAGAGCGCTATTTGTGCAATAGCGAAAATCAGACCTGAAAAAAATCAGACCTGTACGGGATTGGAACCACTGACCTCTGCGATACTAGTGCAGCGCTCTACAAATTTAGCTAACAAGCCAACTGCGAGCAGGCCGTTAAGTTGTTATCTAAACAAGCAGCAACACACTAATGTCGGGGTATCCACTTTACAATTTAGCAATGGGAACTCCTCCCCTGTCTCTTCATGTTTCCAAATTCTGCTTATAGGCATGGGGTAAATAGCCTATTAACGCAAGTAAACGGGCCAAAGAAACGACATAAGCCGTAGATACACCGACAAAGAGTTCAACTTGTTGCCACACCCCGACGGGTTCTTAGGGTGCGGAGACTGGGTTGAGCGGAGGCTTGGGTCACGTGTCGGAACGCGAACAAAGACGGAGTCAGTATCAGGCTTCTTGCAGGCTTCGACGAATCGAAGGGCAAGCTACTGCAGCGTTTGGACTCTGTAAAGAAAACAATTTAGAAAACAACTAGTTAATATATATAGGCAGCACTAACTTTGTAACCCTTTCATCGAGGTAAAATGTAGCTCCAACGAGTTTTTTTCCCGTCCGCCGACACAACATAAAAGTTTCTTTAGAAGTTAAAAACTTTTACTCGTTTAAAAGTTGAAAACAAGGGAGGCTAATAAAAACTTAACACAGACCTCCCCTATCACTATTGACAACTGACTTGTTTCAGTATACATCTCAGCAGATTTGAACATATCTGTAAACGAAAGAAGTCTCGGCAGACTTGAACTTCGATGTTCACTGTTAGCTTGGAGAGTAAAAAGACATGATCAGCACAAGTTACATAGCCTTACCCTATAATAGTGCAGAGCACATGGACTGTAAGGTACACTGCACAGACAGGGCACCCAGATTGGTGCCGACAAGGACATATCTTTAGTGATACCATCGGCGCACGACTTCTTTGAACACTGGGAACAAGAGACAGACAACAATCTGAGTTATTTCAAACTCTCAAGACCTGACCTGGACTTAACTGACATAAAAGCGGTGCACGGGGAAGGAAAGCATTGATTGGATCCATGACAGAGGAGAAGAGTCACCCATCGAATTCTCCGAAAAAATCACTTCACCGTCCTCAATGTCAAATGAAAAACTTCATAAGATTATTAATAAGTCCAAAATGGTTTGTTACCACAGGTTGCCTGATGGCTTGGTTAGTTCATCTTTCACACACCTGATACAACCAGATACCAACCTGTTCAAACCAGCTTTTTTATCGCCTTCTAGATACAACATCTCTGTAATCCGAGGTTGTTGATGATTTCGGTTGGCTAGCATTATTGATGGGAGGGGGGAGGGCAGGGAGTGATTTTAGCAAGATTACGGAAATATATAGCTTTGGCAATGAAAATGCAGAAAGACTCGACTAATTTTACAACAGGTTGGCGCATTTTACAAAATTATTTCTCACATTTCGAAATTAATATTCAGATCTATTCAATTGATTCATCTACCTTAGAATTTAACACTCTTGTTTTCTCCTGTGTACCGTTTCTTTCGAGATCGAGTTAGAGAAAAAGGGGTGGGGAATGGGATCCAAGTTTCTTGGGCAAACTTACCGAGGTGCATTTAATAGCGGGGTTCGGACAGTCTCCCCCATCGAGGACCACAAGGCACACATTTGTGTTAGGCACGGCTGCCATTATGAAATAACCACATTTTAAGTTTCCCCGGACAATACCACTGAAATGCAAGAGAACGAGATATTGCAAAAACCAAGAAAGACTAAAATCATGAAGTACTTTAGTGCTCAAAACGACGAAATCAACATCAGGAGTCATTGCATCGTGAGAAAACCAAGAATACCTAACTATCATGTGACATCTATTACGATTGAAAAAATAACTACAATTATTTCTTACTGTTGTCTTGAAACCAATACTTAGAGGGTAAGAATAAAACTAGAAGTAAACTCCTTTGTGACTCATGTGACGACAGGCGAGGCACAGACAAATTTGTATCCTAGTGCTAGTGCCCAGGTCCATCTTAAATTCTGAAGAGGACCCTGAGGTCTCAGCTCACAGAGGATGCCGTAGCCCTCTCACCATCGCTGTGTTCGTCCACGCCCTGTTCCTATTAAACTGGCCTTTTATCGTAAACAAAAAACTTATGCATCGATTATCTTGTAGTTGGTGTAAGTTTGGCCAAGCTGAAAAGACACAATTAATACAAAGCTTGTCATTTATATAATGTGTGATGAAATTTTGTTATCTTGCCGATCACCACTAAAACGAAATTCTTCGCATCTTTCCCATACGTCTCGGGTCCTAATATACACCTCTTAGCCAGTCAAAAGCGATATTTCACTGCGGACCTTTTGCCTTAATGAGTTAAGAGATATAACCCTTGTTTTCTCTCTAGCTGTATTTACTCAGGTCTGGTACACACACTAGCTCATGTGACCAAAATAGAAAGAACTATTACTTCTCCTCCCAAATGAGACGCTGGTTGATTGTAAGTTTGTAGAATTCCCCAATCAGTTCTTGAGCTCGCCCTGTCATTCTATTGGTATGTATGACACTCTGGGATAAAAAGTTATGTGAAGGTTGCGATATCGTGATATTTACCTCCAAGTCATTACGAGCTAAATAATTAGGATATATTACAAGCTAAACTTGTGGATATAATTCCTTTTTTCAACATGTCTAAGAGTAGTTCTGGATGTTTGAAGGCGAGATGAAAGCGTTCTTTGGCAGCTCTATAAATTCAAGAAAGTGTTAAAACGTAGCGACATACAAGCACAAAAAGTGAAGTTATCTTTAAACATACCGGTATCTTAAAAAAATAAATTTTGATTGTCTTTAGCTTTGAGACAGTCGTTCTCATAGTTCCTACAGAAAATAACTTTCTCTTGTTTTCTAACTTGACCGACCCTCTAGCTCAAATATACGAATTTCGTTGTGACGTAAATGTCCACACCGGAGTGAGTGAGTGAGTGAGTGAGTGAGTACATGCGTGAGTGCACGCGTGAGGGGGTGTCTGAGTGAGTACGTACGTGATTGAGTGAGTGAGTGTGTGTGTGAGTGACTGCGTGGGTGAGTGTCTGCGTGAGTGCGTGAGTGAGTGAGTAAGTGCATGAGTGCGTGAGTGAGTGCATGCGTGAGTGCGTGAGTGAGTGGGTGAGTGCGTGAATGTGTGTGTGACTGCGTGTGTGAGCGAGTGAGCGAGCATCGAGTCAACACTAAAACTCACTCTGAAATTAAGCCGTATTCATGCTAAGAGTTAAAAATGAATCAAGTTATTAGGGAGATACATCCTCGTAGCCTAAAAGCGATTTCTTGATTTTTCCTACCGAGTCAACAAAGTTGTCCGATAAAATTCGAGTACTCTGGCATAAAAACATTGAATGTCTTTAATTTGGACCCTTCTACAACTACAAACCCTGGGACTGGACATAAAGTGTTTACTGTAAACCACATAGCCGTTTGGGTCAATCAGCATACATGAAGCTGAAAATTAACAAATAGATTTCCATCAGTGGATTCTTAGAAAGATCTGTAAGAGTAAATAATAGCAAGAGTAATTCTTCATCTCCTGTTATGGTGTTTTCTTGATAAGCATGAGGAAAAGTTTCACCTCAGCTTTCATATGAATATTGCTCGTCCTGAATCTCAAGTTTTGGAATCGACATTTCCTCCTTAACAAAGTCGCTGCATATACAAGAACAAATATGTTGCTATCACAGTCCCTGCCCATTGCTGATCTTCTTAATATTCAACATTCATGATCGATAAAATAAAGCAAAACGTTTTGAAGCATAAATTCACCAGAATTCCTTTTGCAAATAGGTCCACTATCGGCGACTATTTGATGAATCTTGATCATTTTAAAATCGATACCCATCACAGCTCTGACCTCGATAACAATCAATAAATGGAATTTAGACGCAAACGATAATATGGTTCAATCGACTAAAATCAAAAATTGCAATTGGGATGGTCTTTAAGGTCATCGATGTCATCGAAATAGTTGGGATGTTTTCTTTTGCTCTTGTGAAACCATGATCAATTGTGGCGTTCTACCATGCGAACTAATAATATGGATATATCAACAAAGTTGAAATGGTAAATTGGCCACCGTAATGATTACGAAAGCTGACGTTTCGAGCGTTAGCCCTTCGTCGGAGCGAATCAACTAATAATAGTTGATTGTAAAGTCTGAACATACAACTTAAAGTAGTCTAAAGGAGGACTTTCGTCAGTAGCAACGTGAAACGTTTGAACAACCTGAGCGGAAGTCACCATCAGACTCCACTTTCTTACCATGGAATCACTGCTGATTGTTTGACTTGTTGTCACTACCACTCCAGCTCCTCCATTGTCCTACAGAGTAACGAGGATAAACGTCAGAGGGTGTGAGAACAATTTAATCGTTATCTAGCTTTCATTTCAATAGCCTTCGCTTACAATGCTGACTACTTACCAAATAAGGAACTGAGAAAGTCACGTTTCCTGGGTACGAC